GTTAATGTTTCTCTTTCGATTTAAAGCTTTCGTGACTGCAGGGATTCATCTTCTTGGTTCTTTCGGTAAAGTCACAGACCTGTTCTTCACCTGAGGACGGCTGCTTGCGTTGTGGCCGAAACGTCGTGAGAATTATTTTATTATGTTTTATTTTTATTATTTTATTATTATTGAGCGGGAGCTCGGGGCTGTTGCTGGAAGTGGAATCCCCGTCCCGGCTGTTCAAGACCATCGTCGTCGCCATCTCGTCGTTGTCACTACGTCCTCGTCGTCGTCTCCGTCTTCACCATCCCGGAGTGCTGTTAGTCAGACAGCCTACCAACTATTCTAACTAAGTAGTACCGCCGACAATAGAAATTCTTAATTATAATAGTGTGCACCCACGTAGGGTGTGTATATCCCGATGGTACTTAAATAAAGAAGTGCCTCCAAGTATTACTGTCTCCGATCTGCGTCACTACACATACATTAACATATTAAACGTTATTTTGTTTTTAAAATTACTTTATTATATTTTTTATCACAATATACACAACACTCATGAAGGGTGGTGATGATATGAAAACGTGGCATTATTAATTATTTGCCTGGTAAAGAATGGACCATGATGCTTTCCGTCAGAATATCTAGTCGTTATCAGCATATCTGAATCCTGTATCGATGGTCGATTAATTTGCAGCTCAATTAAAAAATTACCTCACTGCTTTTCTTGATGCACTTGTGCCCATCCGAATAAGCACAAAGAGAACGAGGAAAGCGTGCAGTAACTGGCTGTCACCAGAGGCCATCACTGTGAAACAGACGCAGCGAAGATTGGAGGGTCTTTGGAAGAACACTGGTTACAGAGTGTCGTGCAGATTTGCCAATGAACTCATTATTGAGTCTCGTAGATCATTCTATACAATGCCCATCAATGAGTCGACTCGGGACCCCCTTGCTCTGTGGCGCGTCATGAAGGGTCTGCTACAGTCTAACCACCCATATACTAGTCAACTAGGTCTGTGCATCCTTCTGGTCTGCATACTAAGTTTGATCAACCTGGAACTAATGTTAAACTCGAAATCCTGGCACCAACGTTGGTGGCAAAGCTGTCGATGTTCATTTGCACGGCTGCCAAATGAGACATTGCTGCTCGGCTACATCCACACGTCAATTCTCAAATCATGCTCAGACGTGCTTGCATCGCCGATTGTCCACCTGCCAAATGTTTTGTTCAGCGAGGGCTGTTTCTCAGACCAGTTAAAAATGGTGCATATGTAGGGGTGTTACGGAGGGGCTCTTATACATGGGATCACACGGGAAACAAACACAGTGGGCGTGGCTACGTGAGTGCACGGGGAGGTGATCTCAACGACGTCCGCACCGGGGAGCCTGGGGGGCTGCCCGGAGTTGTGATCCCCCGGGGCCCCACCCCTCAGCCGGGGTTTGGTATAAAAGGGGATGAGCCGGAGGGCTCGGGGTTGTTAATGTTAAGCTAACCAGTGAAGACCGAAGATCGTCTAGATAGGGCCCTGGACTCCCCTGGATCGCCGCCCTTATCAGGGCCGAACAGGACCGAGCCAGCGGCGTGGTCCCGAGAACCAGAGCCGGTGCTCTTATCAGAGCTGGTCTGGGACTCCGGGTACCGTAAGCCCGACTTACCAGTGTCGGGCTAGATAGCCTCCCCTAGCCCGTTAGTGGAGGACTAGGAGGTAGGCTAGACGTAGCTAGCAAGTGTATCCCCAGATAAACGGGTGAGGGGGCCGATACCCCCTCCAGTGTTGTATGCCCACGATTGTGCTGTGCTGAATAAATACGTGTGCCTCCAAACTCCGGCGTCCAAGAGTCTTCAAGTATATTACACATATAACGCTGTTCCTCAAAAAGGTTGGCCTGTGCAATAGTGACCTTGCAAACTGTTTCCCAAAATCAAACCTGAGTTCGATTTCAAAGGTCATCGAGCGACTGTGTCTGAAGTAGTTACATCTCCACGTCACTGCGATGGGCAGATTCAACCCATTGCAGTCGGCGTACTAGAAGTTCCACAGCACTGAGACGGCTCTGCTGAAAATCATTGATGACCTCTACAAAATCATAGATTACCAGTGCGCCGCAGCGTTGGTAGGCCTTGATCTCTCAGCTGCCTTCGACATCATTGACCATGAGATACTCATCTGGTGGTTAAGATCAAGGGGTCGGTGTATCGGGTTTGATACTGGGGTAGATTTAGTCATTCCTACATGGTCGATCACAGTTCAAGCTCGGTGACGAACAGTAATCACCGATGCTGTACCTAATCACCAAAGGGATCCATCCTCGGGCCCTTCCTATTTTCAACATGTCTCTCCAATCGCCAATGTCATCTAATTGCAAAACATCAAGTTCCATCAATATGTTGATGATACACAATTGTACACTGCTGAGCTGCAAGTTGTCAATAATGAAGAAAGGTACGGTGGGCAGGCAGATGTGAAGGCATTGTGGCAGAGGCAGGCGATCTTGTATGGCAATCGAAACCAGCTCCCTCTTACTGTGAGGCACGGGTGTTCCAGCCCTGCTACCCTAGCAAACACAATAACAACGTGTATAGTCGGCTATAGACAGTCATTTTCCATAATTGGGTTCTGGGTGAGGCCACGTAATGATGCGGCCATATCTTCATTATGTAAGACTCCATCCAGCGATAATAATTAAATGTCACTACAAATGTTTGGTGTCGGAGCTTTGACCTATCCGATGTTTTTATTATTAAGCTCTGTTTAATCCACCCATGGACGATGGAGAGACGACTGCAATCTCTGCCTTAGTGGGAAGGTGGAACGGAGTCGTAAGCGTCTCTTCACAGAGCAGAGCCGGAGCAGCCCTCCTCCTTTTCGCTCGCCCAGGCCTCTGACGAGAAGAGAGAGGTTGTGGAGGAGGATTTGAAGGAGGTGAAGAAAGAGGAAATGAAGGAGAAAGAGGAGACAGAGTTGGAGGAGAAGACGGAGGAGATGACAGAGGTGGATGAGCAGATGGACAAGGGGCAAAAGATGGTGGTGGAGGAAGTTGAGAAGGCGGATGAGGAGACAATGAAGGAGGATAATACGGAGATGGAGGATGGCGGTAGTGCAGGAGGAGGAGAAGAAAAATAATAGGCGAGGGTGGATGGCTCGTGTGGGGAGAGCGATCTGCACGCTCCGCCGCGTGCTGCTGTGACTGCAGGTCTACCGCACAATAGGGGTGGTGGTCATGGATCAGTGTCAACCACGACTGCTATTACCACACACACCAAACGCACCACACCATTCCTTGATACACTCGACACACAACACACTGAGTATTTAGATGCATTTGTGTACATACGATTTCCCGGAGCGACGGTGCCACTGGAACCACGGTTGGGGAAAGGAGGCCCGCCCCTGGTGACAGCAGCAGAGCGGCTGCCACCGTGCGAACAGCGGTGGCAGAAGGCTGAGCAGCAGATGCCAGGACTGAACTGGAGAGCGACTGCTGCCAAGACACCACACAAAGATCCCGCCCCCCCAGCCTAAACAGGCTTTTAGCAAAGTGCATATGAAGGCCCGCATGGCACATGAGTGGGTAGCAAGAACCACGCCAGGCCGCTTTCGTTTTCCTAGTAGCGGTTTTTCACATCACACCAGCTACTCGTTTGAGGCTTAGTCGACATAGAGAAGGCCCAGGACCAGTGCAGATAATCATCACTGGTGGTGGCACCACACACACAGGCCGAGCCCAGTAGCATAGCCGGCCCCACCCTAGGCCCCTTCCATTCTGATTTTCATCCAGGCAGTCCTCATGGGATGACCTTGCCATAGTTTCCAGGACATGGAATGGGCAGCTGACCCAGAGTGAGAGCGCTGGAAGGGGGCCTGGTGTAGCATATGGATGAAGCCTTCCACGTGGCGAGTCCCAACACCACCCTGTTAAGAGTTAGGATTAATCCAATTCATAATTCGATCATTATCATCGTTGGTATTATAAACTTTATGAAATACACCCATGATGACTCACAATAATGTTGTATTGTTGAGTGCTGCCTGAGTTGGTGAAATGTGCCTTGGCTCGTGTGTGTAGTGTACTAGCTTGTGTTTGTGTGGCGGTACAAGGGCAAATATATAATAGCTGATTTGGGCACTGTTATAAGGCTTAGAGTAGGGTTGCGGGTTATTAAGGTAGTCACGTGATGCCTTGTATACAAACGCACTACAGCTGCTGCATTACACGAAACAAAATAGAGCAGAACAGCCTCCACATAGCCATCACTCCAAATAATACCAGTGGCTATACTCATTACATCGGACGCACAACCTTCTGAAAGTGCATCTCATCGGCAGCATTGATTCAACATAAGCAACACCCTGGATAAGCATCGACAGTGTCTCATCAGCAGTCAAGGTTCGCTGGAACCAATATTTGTGAACTGCCAGATATTATTAGCAGTGACCCACTTGTAGATATGGGTGCTAGTTCAGCACAGAACTCTGTAATGTATTGGCCTGCTGATAATTACTCCAAATCTATGGCTGCAGATTGGATGAAGCAGAGTGGAAGATGGCAGCCTTCACGCGGTTCATTCTAAGTGAGAATTCACGACGAATGCTATCAATGCGGCAACCGAACATTAACCTCTAGACTCTAGAGCAAGACTAAAAGCCACGCCAACGGTCCTTTCCAGGACCGAACGCACGATGAAAACACATTTATCTCAGCTATTAATCTCCAGGATTCAATATCATGATCAATATTCAATTATTTCAGTAATCAACATATTCTCAGTAATACATAATATAAATGTTCATGACTCTCAGTGATCATTCTCTTTTTAGTATTTAATATCACAATGTAAATATATTGATCTCATTACCAAATCCGTCTTAGTAATCAATATCCTAATCAGTATCCATTAACATGAGTAATACCTGCGATAAAAATTTGGTATCACATGACAGAACAGTCCTCCAGAGTGAAGTATGGAGCAGGGTGTATGGCAGGCACAACAAAGCAGGGCAGAGACGGATTTAGGGGTTAAAGCGATTTATTGCGGCTCTCACCAAGTTATGGGAGGTGTGGTTGTGGCAATCAATGCCACGTCCCCAGAAACACAAATCCCATGCTTGAAAATACAAAACCCGCACGGACCTAAAGTTCCATCGCAAACCCGAATGCACTCTCAGAACAGGACTCCATTAATCGGGCTATTGGCCAGGTAGGGTAGCCCCTACACAAACCCCTACCTCCACACACACCCCTAGCATCTACACGAACTCGCACCTCCACACACACCTGATAGTCGGGTTGTACGCACGGAACGAGTCGTGGCCATCGACAGCCAACGGCACAGGCCTGAGCCACTAACAATGCAGTGAAGGTCTTGCACCATGGCTTTGACTGTATACAAAGTGTTTCTACCTGGCTGATTAACCATTCACCTGACACCACAGTGAACTCTTGATACAGCGGTGAGCACTTGTCAGTGAACACACGCCACCTCGGTGAACACTCGGCAGAGTACTGCTACAGTGTGCATTTCAAACAGCAGAGCACGAAAAACAAAGGGCCCCCTATAGCCTCAACATACTGTTGGGGAAAGTGCTGTTAACGAGCACCCATGAAGGCCAGCACGGTACACAAGGGGGTGGATGGCCAGCACCACACCCGACCACCTTTGTCTCCCTAGTGACGATGCTTTACGCAGTGCACCAGGTACTCATTCGTGGCAAAGTCTATCTAGGAGAGGCCCAGGCCTGGTTCAGATAATCGCCACTGGTGTTGGGCGTGAGCAGGAATCGAACTCGGGTGCAGCGCGGTTTGCTACACCACTGCTCTCCATGGGCACAGGGCCACAACCACTCCCATTGTTTCATTTATCTCACGGATTCATCTTCTTAGTGATCAATATCATGATCATCATATATTGATCCGTGACCAATATTTGTCAGTAATCAATATCATGATCAACATTCAGTTATCTCGGTAATAATTAATCAGGAATCAATGTCAATATTCATTGATTTCAGCAATACATTTTCAGGATTCAATAGCATGATTCACATTCAGGGATTGCAGTAATGATAAATATTTATTTATTTCAGTAATTTGTGTTCTCAGCAATGACCAATATTCAATTCAGGTTCCCATTCTACTCTGCATTCAATGTCAATATACATTTATCATTAATATTTATTGATATCAATAATTAATATTTTAGGGTAATGGGTCACACAAAGACAAATACCGACATAAAGCCTAACAGTTAGGGCAAGTGCTGTTAGCAAGCACCACCTATGAAGGCCAGCACGGTACACGAGGGGGTGGGTGGCCAGCACCACGCCCGGCCGCCTTTGCCTCCCCATTGGCAATGTTTACACATTGCACCAGGTACTCATGAGGCTAAGGCGACCTTAGGGAGGCCCAGGACCAGTTCATATAATCGCCACTGGTCTTGGCCATGAGCAGGAATCGAGCTAGGGTCATCGGGTTCGTATCGCAGCGCGCTAACCGCTACACTACCACTCACCATCTCACACACTCGCTTACTCACACGGCCACTGTCACTCACTCACCCAATCACAAAGCCAATCAGTCACACCCACTCAAAGGGAAAATATATAATACCGTATGTGGTTGTGCCCTGAAGGGCCATTGCCCAAAACCTTGCCTATTATATGTTATTAAGAGTGGGTGTGTTGGTGAGAGACTGGGCAAGTAGGTGTGGGTGATTGACTGAGGGCTTGTGCGTGGGTGAGTGTGTGAGTGACTGGAGTGGGTGTGTTCCAGACGGCTAAAACACAAAGTTGGCACAGTTGGTACATCTGCCAGTCATCTCAGTCAGTCACCCCATGGCACCTGGGTCTGTCCCTTGACCTCCTGCCAGCAAGCCTTTGACAGTTTACATGGCCTCAAAGTGCAACTTGCCTGGCACAAGAGCCGTGGTGATGTCACCGCCACTTAGTGACAAATGGCAGTTGTGCGAGAGTGTGAGTGACTGAGTGTGTGTGGGTTTGTGGGTGAGTAACCGAGATGGTGTGATTGAGTGACCGAGTGGGTGAGTAAATGTGCCCCGAAGTAGATCCATTGCCCAAAACGTTGCATGTGGCTGTGCATTGCCGCTAGTGATTGGTGTGGAGGAGGAGGAGCCTCTGGCTGAGGCAGTGATTCTGGGCCACCAGGTGCTCAATGACATCACCCTGGTACTCAACGAGCTCCCTCACACCCATAGACCTGCAAAGACACACATAGGGATTGTTAGAGATACTGTATATTGCAATAGTTAGAGATACACAGAGATCTACAGACTATGAGATCTATCACATACACAGACCTGCATGAAAATGCTCAGAAAACACCTGGGGTTTGGAGATCAGATCACCATGCTTTCCTTAAAGGATGGTGAAAGGCATGGCTCTTCAAGTTACTCTTTTGATGGAATTCAAGAGTCAATTGTGATCGCAAAGTGCTGACGCAGTTTCCATCTCCTCAGCTTCAACCCACAACCACCAGTCATCCTTGCAACGCCACACAACTATCCTGACCCTCTGAAGGCTGCCGTAAGCCTCCTTATTCTCCATGGTAGGATGTTGTACACGGTGGGAGTGGGCTTACTCTCAGCTATCTGGAGAACACTTCCTCTATGAGCAAGGGTCTATGGAGGAGGTCTGGACTGTGTACCAAACGCAGCCATAGTCCTGAGCCTCACCCATTTCCCCTCAGAATCAGGAGGGGTGTACGATGTCAACCCTACCTCGAAGTGATGATAAAATTCTTGCTTGCAAATCTCATTAGCGAGTCGAGACCAGGCCACTATGGGTTTGAATGGGGTCCTAGGTGGACGCCCATCACAGCAGTGGAGGAATGGCAGGCGTATCTTAGAGATGATAAGCCGATGGTCAGTGGGCAGATCGGCTCCACGGTTGGAGCCGATTCCCGTCAGGGCCATGGAACGTGATGCTCCACCCGTCTTACTTCCCCTGACCACTACTCATTAGCCTCACTCTTTTTTATACATCTGGAAAGAGAGCTGCAGATGTTTATTTACCAGCTAAAGCAAAAATATAGATATTTTACGTACATAGAGCCTCCAGAGAAACACCATACTTTATGACATACATCTCTTGCCATCTATTTAGTCTTCTTGTGCCCTTTACTTCTATCGTGGTGTTTTTATTCAAGTTTTATTCTCCTTTACGTGCACGATAGAAATAATTAAATGCATTCAGACTACACAATTCGTGAAGCTATCACCCCAACCGTTGGGAAAGAACTGTCTGAGGACCCAATAAAAACCATCACCTTGCCATACATAGCAGGGGTAACCAAAACTATTTCCAAAATCATGAGCAAACACAAGATCCAATCTTGATTTGAAGCTTTCGAGACTGCAAGAATCCATACTCTTTGGTTCTTTCGGTAAAGTCACGTAGGTATAAAATAAATAAATCACGACGTTTCGATCGCAACACAAGCGGTTGTCCTCAGGCGGAAAAAATATAATCCAGCAGAGGAACTGCTGAACCAGGTTCGATTCAACACGGTACATAAAATTCGTGATCTCATCCCATCTGTGAAGGATGTGATCCCTGAGAAGCAATACCCCGGTGTCTACAAACTAAGCTATGTCTGCGGCAGTAGTTACATTGGGGAAACTAAGCGATACGTCTCGGACCGTGTTCGTGAACATGCTTTAACGCTGTGGGGGACACAATAAATTATTTTTTCCAAGACGAAGGTACTCTGCAAACCCACTGACTAAGAGCAAAGATTCGTTCATGAAGCCATCCAAATATATAAACACGGACACAATTTCAACCAAGAATATGGGTACAAACTGAGCAATCATTGGAAAGACGTTATTAACCAGGTAAAGTCATAACTGGCTGTGATGTTTCCATCCTACTTGCCGATGTTAGCAGTTATTTTCGACTCTCCGAGTTATATTACCAGGTTAAATGTCATTACATTAACAGGCTAAATGTCTCACTAACACAACCACCGTTGCTCGTTGGCCTCGATGTGGTGTTGGTTTACGGTTTTCCTACATTGACATGCTAATTTCTCACAATACATTGGCCACCTCCGCTTCGTCTTTCTTACATTGACATGGTAATCTCACCTCCACAGCTTCATCGTCATGGAGGAGCTCAGCCCTCCGATCTTACATTTACATGCAGATTTCATCTCTAGCCTTGCCCACTTCGCTGTTGACCCTTGGGCTACACCCATCTCAAACCTTTATAACACCCTGCCTCAGCAGCGCTCCCGCTATTATTATTTTTTCCTCCCACAGTAGCTTTCCCGCAATTTTTTCACTGGATGGTGATTGCTTGTGTTGCGATCAAAACGTCGTCATATTTTATTATTATTTTTCTATCTACGTGGCTTTACCAAAAGACCCAAAGAATATAATTAAATTCAGTATACCTCACGGTTACTGTATAATTACTTTAGGTATAATCCCACATGGCGCCCAAGCGCTCACTTCGGCGTTGTAAATGCGGGATTGAAATCCCCAGTGCCAACTCCCATAGACGTTGTTGTACGTATCTATGATTAATATTGAACTTCCTTTGCACCGTGTGTAGCCAACCGTGCTTATCAGAGGTTCAAGGGAAGGACAAACTCAAAACAAAAAGCAGTTCTAAAGAAATTAGTTTTCAATCTATATTTACAAGTGCATAGCAAATGGCATTTCCTCGCAGCCACCATTGTTACTGAGGAAAATCAACAGCAAGGAGGTGGGGTGTTTTTGGAAGTCGGTGATAAACACACAAACACACTTAGAGAGGGCAGACAATCTCACTTGGTGGTGCTGGCTGTGGAGGACGCCGTTTCTTTCTCGATGATGTCGGATTGTGGGGTCGATTTGTTGAATCTGACAACTCGCACTGACAAAATCATCAGCATCATCATCTCCTTCTCTCCACGTCTGTGTCTCTCTCTCCCTGTCTCTCTTCTATGGCTCTGTGTTCCTCTCTCTCCCAATGTCTCCCTCACCTTTTCTCTCCCCTAGTCTCCCTCTCTCCATGTCCCTATTTGTGTCCCTCCCTCTCTCTCTCTCTATCTCCCTGTCTCTTGGTGGGCTGCAGGTGGCACAGTGGTAAGACTGACGCCTCACAACAAGAATTTCCTCGGTTCAATTCCCGACTCGGATACCTCTGGTGGAGTTTGTGTGTTATCCCCTGTTCTGCAGTGAGTGACAGTGATCGTATGAGCGAGTGAATGTTCTGAATGGGTTTCCTCCGGGTTTTATAGTTTCCTCCTTTCATAGCTAAACACACACAGTGGCACTCGTATTCGCCAAACCACACCCAATTACTCAATTTGGATCACACACAGCAGCAGCGTCGCCCCTGACTGTGAATACATGGCAGGACCCTCCTGAGTCAGTCTTGAGACTGTTCTGGGTAAACAAGCTTAAACAATATCAAACAACAACTGCCCTCTGTCTCTCCCCCCGTGTGTCTCCCGCTCTCCCCAGGTCTGCGTTTCTCTCTTCCCATGTCTCTCCTTCTCTCCCAATGTCTCTCCCTCTCTCCCAATGTCTCTCCCTCTCTCCCAATGTCTCTCCCTCTCTCCCAATGTCTCTCCCTCTCTCCCAATGTCTCTCCCTCTCTCCCTGTGTCTCTCCCCGTCTCTCCCCGTGTCTCCCTGCGTGTCACTCACCCACATATGCGATGAGACACGGAGAAAGGAGGAGGAATTCTGCACAAATAATCCCGACCCACATCCAGAGCCAAAATCTCTCTCCTCCAATTCCCCCCCATGTCTCCGGGTCTTCTACTTGCTTCTCCGTTGCACAGATTGTCAGCAGAAGAGCGTTACCTAAAAAATCAACAATATAATTAATATCTGTGTGTCTATCGCTATTTCTCTATCTCCTCTAATCTGTGTTGAAGATTATAATGGCCATGTCTCTGTCTCCAACTCTCTGCAGGTAACAAGCTGAGATTAGGAGCACTCCCTTTAAGAGTGTGCTCCTAATCTCAGCTCGTTACCTGTATAAAAGACACCTGGAAGCCAGAAATCTTTCTGATTGAGAGGAGGTCAAACACTTATTTCCCTCATGAAAATGCTAATTAATTTATAACATTTTTGACATGCGTTTTTCTGGATTTTGTTGTTGTTATTCTGTCTCTCACTGTTCAAATAAACCTACCATTAAAATTATAGACTGATAATTTCTTTGTCAGTGGGCAAACGTACAAAATCAGCAGGGGATCAAATACTTTTTTCCCTCACTGTACATATTACATGACAAATTCACCTGCATAGATTTCACCACCAGGGCATCTCTCTCGACCTATCGTGATCACCCACGGCCAATCCTTCTGTCACCACTCGTTCCACTCTCTCCTCAAAGATGTTCCACTCCAAAGAGGGCCTCATCCAGATCCAAAGGGCCACAATTAGTCTCCCATGGATCTGTGGTGCCACAACGACGGGGCCGCTCTGCCGAGCCAGGGAGCCGCCCGGCTTCCACCACTGCACTGCCCCCCATCACCCCCCCCCCACATAAGCACGCACCCGCACCCACGTAGGGCCTTGTGGTCGGGTCACCTACCCTGAGTTTTCACCCGAGGGCCCCCTCGGGGGGTTACCCCACGGTTTCTCAGGGCCAGGGAATTGGACAGGACCCTTCCCAGGCTAAGTAACACTGCGGCGCCGTGGGCGGATTTGAGATCGCACGACCACGGCGAGCTCAGAGAGCCCCGCAGTTAGAAACGCATACAAACACAAACACGGGTCAGCAAGGCAGATAGCTAGGATCAGGACCCGGGGCTGCTGCTTAGCCAAAAGGTCAAAGGCCGGCGGGATCGCAAAAGGGCGGGAAATCCTAGGCTCAGGATTGGTCGAGAGACCAAGGCGGTCGGGGCGGGGGCGCCTAGCCTTTGATGTGGATAGTTTAAAAGAAAACGCAGGGGCAGTAGGGAACTCTCTTCTTCTGGAGTAGTGACACGGGGTCAACGACGAGGGAGTCATCGGGCGAGCCGCAGGATCGTCTGCAGGACGACCTGAGCGCCGCAAGGTCACCTAGGACTACAGACGGTATCGTATTACGCGCCTTACAACACCTCAGAGCGGAGAGTAGGATCCGTAGGAGAAGGTTAGTTAGGGGTAAGGACGAGTAGGAAAGCGGTGTAACAGAGAGCGCAGCATAGAATAGGGCTGCACGCCACTAGAGAGTGGGTTGGAAGCGCCTTGCTGGCTCGTACACACACACGGGTGGCTCGGTGAGTTAACAAGGGTTAATAAAATCTCGAGCGTAGTAACAAAACCGTGTTGTTGGGTGTTTTTGAACGTGGTATTAGCGTGCACTGCATTCGCGGGTGTGTGGTCGTTGTATGCGTAAAGGCCGTGGTCTCTGTACGATGGTGCGGGTACGGAGGTGTGTGTGCTAACGCCCGGGGAGAGCACTTTTGTGTGTTGGCGTGCCTACGCAGCCGTGTGAGAGGAGAATCGTCCTTGCACGATACTTGTGTTGACGTGCACGCGCGAGTGCGGGAGGGGACGAGTCGTCGTGTCGGCGTGCACCCCGCTCGCGTGTGCGAAACCGCGGTGCGCAGTGAAGCTGTTAGCTTTGTGCGAGCTTGCGTGTGCTCGAGCGCGTAATCGGCTGCGCATTGTTGTACGGTTTATCTCGCGCGCACGGCGGCGGCAACTTGAGTCGTTGTGTCGGCGTGTGCCCCGCTTGCGTGTGCTCGTTACGTGCGTAAAGTGCGGCGCGGTGGTGAGTTCCTGACCCCCAGCCCCGCGGCTCGAGTGCGTAATCGGCTGCGCATTGTTGTACGGTTTATCTCGCGCGCACGGCGGTGGCAACTTGAGTCGTTGTGTCGGCGCGTGCCCCGCTTGCGTGTGCTCGTGTGATCCCGTGTTATAAGTGTGAACGCGTGTGGTACGGTGTATGCGTAAGCTCTCGTCGTGCGAAATCGGCGTACCCCAGGTGCGCGATCGTAACGTGAGCGGCCAGCGCGGCGCAGAGCGGCGCAAGAGTGAGTGCCGTGCAAAGCTGTGTGTGTGTGGGAGTGCGCATACGTTCGTTACGTGTCGGATACGGATGCGCATTGGTAACGTGCCGCACAGGGCTATACTGCGAGCACGGCGTTTGATTGATGATGATGTGCGCACGTATGTTCGCAGCGTGGGAGCGCGGCGCGAGGCTGTAAATAGTAGGGGTGTCGCGTTCGAATGCCGGCGAAACCGTAGCGGGTAATAGGGAGGTGGGGTAACGTAAACGAATAGGGGATGCAGGCGGGAGGGACCCCGGGGGCCAACGGCCCCCACAGATCTCCTACCAGATAGTGATTTCAAGCACTGCACTGGTGAACTTGCAAGAATGGTTTCTCATGTTGGTAACCCCTCTTTCCAGTCCAGTCTTTGGCCTCCATCACTTAAATTGAGCCAAGTGATACTTCTACAAAAAGGTCTGACCACGAAGACCATAAAAACTAGAGACTCGTAGTAGGTTTTTACCCTTTTAAACTGGTACAAAACTGACACCTTTATTCAAGGCATCATGTTTGCAATAACCACAACACAAGTAGTCAAAAAAGCAAACAAAAAGAAGCAACTCTGATAATGATAATAATATGCACTGTCCTTGAAGTTGATTGGTCCACACCCGAGACGGCTTTCTTTAGAGCCTAGTCCCCATTGGTGTTGGACCAGATGACACCAGTAGGCGGACAACTCAAACACAGTGCAATATCAGAGTATTGGGAGCTCGGGGTAAGCATTTACACTATGAGATCTCTTTTACCAGTGGCAAAATATAGTAGTAGGTTTTTACCCTTTTAAACTTGTGTTGTGGTTATTGCAAACATGATGCCTTGAATAAATGCGTCAGTTTTGTACCAGTTTAAAAGGGTTAAAACCTACTACTATATTTTGCCACTGGTAACTAGAGACTCATTACCGACTGATCAACCATCTCCAAATTCCTGGAATGCCTATCCTTTGTCAGAATCTAAGATCACATCACCTCATCCCCCAACATTTATCTTATCTTATTTATACTTACATAGAGCGCCTTCACTGAAGGCGCTTGTCATAATAAAAAAAAATGACAGAATATATTTTTTAGGATCACAGGAGTGTGCAAGGATTGAGGAATGAGTGACTGCGATAGAGGGTACTAAGGGATGACAAGAGGCTATGGGAGGTACAGAAAGAAGTGGAGTGGTGAAGGGAATGAAGTTAATAGGCACTAGAGAAGAGGTGAGGCGTTAGAGGAACAGAATGAGATTCCGGTTAATTGGAAGAACCACCCACATGGAAGCAGTGGTACAGTATGCTCCTAGCACATGTGGGTATGGAGCACCTAAGAAGTCATAAGACTCAGGGCGAGGAGGGGGAATTTGAGGCCAGATGGTCCCCTCTTATACAACATCTAAAACAAGTTAGCCGGATGGCGGGTTGGGAGACAGGGGCAGATGATAAAAAGTACAGCCCCTATGTATTAGACGGGAGACGGATTCGGATGGGTGGAGGAACAATAGGATCACTGTCTCGGCACCTCTTTTTATTTCGGCGCTTTGGTTCCTTCCCTTTTCACCCCCTCTCCCTTACTTAAATACTTACCTTACCCCTCTCCCCAGTGGCACCCCGTCTTGTTTGGGGCAGCGGGCCTGCTCCCCATCTTTCTACCCCCTGATTTCTATAACCAGTTTAGCTCGTGTCGAAGGTTCGAACACGCGACACAACGTGATGCAATGATGTAATGGGCAAGCGCATTGCCTCAATAAAAAAAGGAACAGGAGATGAAGGAGGGGGAATCTTTAATGAACAAGGGAAGTTGATTCCAGTGGAGGAGTGCAAGGAGGGAAGACTGAAACTAGGATTGGGCACAGGGAGGAGTGACAAGGAGATGAGAGAGGCGAGATGAGGTGGGGCAAGGCCATGGAGACATTTAAAGATGGGCATCATCTATTTCAAAAGTCTGCCTACTGCCCAGCCCACACCACCTACCAGGACTGCACTCATCAAGATCAATGACATCTCAGCCTCAAAGATTTCCCTAATCAGCCTAAAAGATTTCCCTAATAAGCCTCAACATAACTGACAATTGTCACTTTAAACCACAAGAGTTTCATTGAAGGCACAGCTCTCAGTGTTTAAAAGTCCTCAACACAGTCACGACACCTACTGCCGGCATCCCTCAGGGCTCTGTCCTGGGTCCTTCACATTTATTGTTCTACATCTCCCCAAACGGTCACCACATTGATAGTCACGGGATAAGCTATCACACCTACGCTGTTGACAATCCATTCCACTCCACTACAAACTCCGATCAGGGTCCACTCAACCTTGCCAATTGTACCTCCAACTTACTGCGCTGGTTAAGGTCAAATTACTTTCTATTAAACCCTCAAAAGTATGTAGCCCTTGTTCTAGGCAACAGACTGTGGCTCATTATGGTGTCGCTCCCTCAAAATCAACCATCGCTGGCTCCACCATCGGTCTCTTAAATTACTTGAAAATCATCGGTATAACCTTGAAACTCCTAATTTTCACTCGAAAACCACGTACCCAACACAGCAAAGATATAGAATGACCACCTCAGGGCCTCATGGTACATCCGCCCAACGCTGCCCTCAGCCACAGCAAACACTCTGGCTTGTTGCATTATCAGCACTCTCCTTGATTATAGTGCAATGCCATCCTTACTCTGAGACAACAGAAAAATAAACACTTTGTGACGAAGTAAATCAGCTTCAAAACCACCTGTCTCATGCTGCCCTGCAAATCAGATGCGGCCATGACTTCCATGGCTTCACTTAAAAGCTCAGCACTGGCTCCCCATCAAATCATGGATCCAATACAATAATCACCATCCTCTGCCACCGAGCTCTTATTCAAGATCTCCATTTCATACCTCTCCACCCTTCCACCCCACTAATCACAGCAAACCGCTGCATCCTATGTAGCACATCTAACATTCTGCTTATCACTACTCCCACAACCAGTACTGTCCTGGCTGAGCAGCTTTTCTCTGTGGCTGCACCAGCCACAGCATCCCTTTGTGAAGGACTCAGTGATTTAGCCAATTAGCAATTCACTGTCCCTTTGAGTGCTCGTGTACCAAGATGAGCAATAAATAGTAGAAAAATAAATCAGGAGGCATTCCACAACGTCCCTACACAAGCACCACGAATCTTAAAGCAACAGCTTACCTGCTGGTCAGGCTGGCATACGAGGAGGTACTTTGAGCCCTGGCTCTGCACGTCTGATCTCTCAATTGAACAAATGCGTGATTTGTGAAATATAAGTGAGTTATCCATAACAGGTTTTTTTTGGTTAGATTGTATAAATATATAAACATGTCATCAAACCCGCCAACACCCGACACAGCCAATTAGTAAGGTTACTCACGTAAACAGCACATGCCAATTCATTACTAGTACAGCACACCAATGTGCTTGGAGAGCAAAGCCACAACAGTTACTTATATTAATCTGAGTACAACGTTTCACCAGTAATTACAACGAGCTTCATCAGGCGACAGCCAAATTTGTGCAGAAATCCTCCTGTTTCGTTCCTTAAAGAGGGGTAGATGTGATGACAACACTTGTGTGCTCTTCTTGCGCGAAGTGGGGGGGGGGATTAATGAATACATCAATAGGGATTACCGTTAGTACGGCTATTTTAGTACAAACAATCAACAGGAAGTACAAGAACAATTGGCTTGCATAATGTACATGCATAATGCACGTTTATTACCATATAAATAGCCCAAACGGAAATTAATACACCAGTAATTTCTATGCATTCATTAATATCCCCCAACCTCACGACCAATATCATCCTGTATTATCGATGATATTGGATGTGAAAACCGACGTGATAAGCGAGTTAGAAAGTGTGTTTTATTTGATTTTTTTATCGTTATTGGTGTTATTATTACAAAGGCTACATTGGGGATGTCCGTGTGTGTATGCACGTTTAGCTTCACCTCTGTAATATCGCCAAGGTTTTAATATAAAAAAAAGACTCCCACCATATTGCACTTTTGAACCCAAATGGGTATAAAATACACTGCTCCACGCTTGGAATAATCGGTAGCATGTCTACTGTCACTGACGCATATTATTATATAACTTTATATAGAGCTCTCAACCCAGCCGCTCTCTCTTCTTCCCAGGCTCAACTGCCTCTTAATAGCACTACCACCCCTTTTATCTGCCCTTCAACTCCATTAACTCCCTTAAAACGTCCATTCAACTCCCTTCTCTTGATCACACCATCTAAAAACTATTATTATTTTACCAGGTAAGGCTCACTGAGCTATTTAGCTCTTTATCAGAATCGAACTGGCTACAAATGATAGCTCAATGAAGTGGCTTATTACATGGAAATTGATAGCAGCCAAATTTATTGTCCATCAACTAAATTGCAGAGCCTTTCAGATGGCCTCAACCAAAAAGTTACAGAAAGTAGACTTCCCCCCCAGATATGGGGGTAAAAAGTGAATCCAAATCAAGATTGATTCAACAGGTTTACAAAAATTGTCGACCCCCCTCCAAAAAAAAGTTTCACCCCCCCCCCCCACCCCCCAAAAATATATTTTTGAGGCGTATATATACACACAACCTCCGTAGGAGGTAGAATAAGGCGGCCATAGGCCACCAAAATTATAGTGTTTCTAAATGTGGAGGGAAAAGCCAGAGGACCCGGATAAAAATTCACACGACATGCAAACTCTAAATATACAGGTGTCAGGGTCGGGATGGAACCCACGACCTGCTGTATATCAAGCGAGGTAGTTAACAACTAGTCACACGCATGAGCTGCAGGGGTTCAGGAACCTGTCCACCCAGTGGTGCTGTGAGCATTCTAATTCAGCTTCACGAGTCGGGAGTCTCATCCCTGTAGTTGCCTGTTGTGGCGCCATATCCTTTTACTGTCTAGCCCCTCAATTCCCTTAAACATCAGGCAATATCTCCATAAAAATTGTTCCACTCCATCTTTACTCTTCCCATGAAAGGGAGAGATGTACATAGGATGACAGACCCATCAGGATCAGAACCTTACTTAGATTGGAGGAATGCAATGCGCTAAAAAGCCCTTTTTCATAGATTTCCAGTAGGGGCAGGTCAGTAAGTTACAACACAGAGTGAAAGAGAGAAACACACAGGGAGAACGATAGAGATATAGATAAAGCAAGACATGGGGAGAGACATGGAATCCCAACTGCGTTGAGGATCGTAAAGGCAGTGTCTCTATCTCCCCATGTCTCTGTGTCTCACCTGTGTTGAAGATCATCATGGCCGTGTCTCTGTGTCTCCGTGTCTTCCTCTCCCATCTCAAGTGCCCTTGCGCGCGAGCCCAGCTGAGTGAGCAATGGACGTTCCACGCAGAGACGGAGTGGATCAGATAGAGAGTGATCCGCCCAAACGCGATCCAGCGACTGACTCGGAGCTCGGAGGCCAACGGAGACAGAGACGCCCAGAGAAGGAGACAGACAGCGGCCAGCTAGAGATACAGAAAGAGAGACATGGGGAGAGAGTCAATCATCGGATGTTGACCATTGTGTCCACCAGGGTGAGTGGACTATGGCGACGCCATGGATGGCACCTGGCCCAGACACAGAGCTGCAAGTCGCGGTTGGCCAGCGTCTCATCTCTGGTTCTTGCGAGATGTGACCCGGCAGTTCGGTTAGTCTCTGTCCCAGGGTCTGGGACACACGGACTGCCACATTACGGAAGCTCCACACATGGATCCGTTCAATAATTCTCAAGGGCAAGGTAACAAACCCTCCGTCCATCTCTTTCCCAAAGCTCTTCAGAACAGCTGCAGGGGGAGCCGTCTTCCTTGACCATCGTGACAGTGGATGGACCACATTTATTCTGCAGGAAGCTGAAGTGGCTTTAAAGGAGTAGTGGTTGTTGTGCTGCTTGGTCTTCTTCAGCTTCATCAGAGAGAACGTTTCATGATCGGCCCTGGCTTTCGCTCAGATTTGTCAACACTCGACATTCTGCCATGTCGCACACACAATAGTGAGCACCAGACTCTTTGCCTGATGACATCAACAGCCGAGGTGACCTCCTCGTCTCCATTGGCTGCACGTCTGGCCAGCTTCCTGATGATAATCCACGTTTCCTCCTCTGTTGTCTGGGAAAAAAAATAGGATCACCTGGCTCTGACAATCCTCAAAAGACACTGGCACAACCATCAACTGCATCTGAAAATCAACAGGAAAATCAGAGACAAGCCACAGTGGTGTGGTTGTGGCCATGCAACCCAAACTATGGACCAGATAAGTAAACCGACTGTAGTCTGCACTACAGGCAACCCCTACGATCTAATTGGTTCCTGGACGATGGTCACAAGTCGAACCCGTCATAAGTCGAACCCATATTTCCCATAGGTGCATTGTTGTAAATTGGGTTCCATTCTTAGGAACCCTTTACATACCATAAAAAATTACCAAGATAAATAACTCCTTTATTGTAACTGAACATACCTTTTCCAAACATTTATTAAGTAAAAATAAGAAAGAAAAATCTGCATGTCCATCAGATATCCTCTTCTCAGACATAGCGAAAGGAAAATTTTTTTAAATTTTAAGAAAAATTACTAAAAAGTAAAGAGCGTTGCGTAGGAGATGTGTTTGCTCTATGCACAGCAGCAGACTGTCGGACTATACTGTACATACCGCTCAGGATCCTGTCTGTACAGACGTATCGTCTTGAGATAGCAGGTTCCATCGCATAGTAGGGAGATGTCATGCGATCTGAGGTATGAGCGCAACTGGTGATCAGCTATGAAGGTGGTCCCACTGCCCAAAACGTCACCTGTTGTTTACAAGTCCTCTAAAGGACGCAGTGCTGTGATTGACGAAGGTGTCAAGTTTTTTTGCTCTGCTAGCGGCGATCGGTATTTCCTGGTGCTGCGAGACAGCGTTTTTCATCACTGGGTGAGAGAAACGTGGTCCCTTTCTTCGACGGTGGACATCGACGTTCGATATTCGGGTCCGATGGTGAACGTCCAAGACGTGGGAAAGAGCCCGTGGCAAACAGGCCCCATCAACGCAGTTCGAGAGAAGCGGGATTTTCACACTCGGCACGATGGCACCAAAGGGGCCGACGAGAGACTCAGAGCCGGAGCGTCCACCGCCCGAAACAGCGTTCACATCGCCTGGCGCCATCGCGGAAACGTACAGTGAATCCGGCTGAGACGGAAGGAGCAGCAGAGCCATGAATCCATTCTCCCTGCTCCGCGCTAGCATCTATAGGTGGTGCGCAAGCGACGATGGCCGATGACAGAGGATAAGGGAGAGATACCCGCGTCTGTGCCACAGCCTGGCATAGGCACAGACGAGGTGGAGGAGATGTGGCTAAAGCAAGTGGTGAGCGCTGCACTTCCAGTGGGGGTTTGATCATAAGAGGTGAACACTTAAACCATGGCCCCCGTCAACTCAGGAGCACTGGCAGGGAGTGATAGACACGGGGAGAAAGAGAGACACGGGGAGAGAGTGAGACATGGGGAGAGTGAGACATGGGGAGCAAGAGACATGGGGAAAGAGACATGGAAAGAGAGCGAGAGACACGGGGAGAGCCATGGGGAGAGCGATACACAGGTAGAGCGAGAGACATGGAGAGAGAGATATGGGAACACATGGGGAGAGATACACGGGGATAGCGAGACACGAGGAGAGCAAGAGACACGGGGAGAGAGTGAGACAGCGGAGAAAGGCACAGGATAGCGAGAGGCACAGGAAAGCCAGAGACACAGCAAGAGACGGGGAGAGAGACAACCGTTGCACATGTAGACGTGCGCACAGACACTCACGTGTATAACCGTTGTGACGAAGACTGTATAATGAGACTTGATTGATGTTGTCTCTGGTCTCCGAGTCACCAGCTCCTCCTCCTCCTATCACAAAACAAATATCACCCAGGTAGCCTCAAAACTAATTACTTGATGCGTTGCCAGTGGTGCACAAACACAACAAACAAAACTGTAATACATTCGTGGCCTTAAAATTAACAAATGTATAACAAGCGACGTTTAAGGCAATGACCCTTGGCCCTTCTTCATAGTACAGTGTAAGGTGAATTAAATGAACATGAGTGCAAAAGTGACTTTGTGAGTGGGTGAGTTGAGAGCGGTGGCACAGCTGACTGCACTACGAACCTGGCGACCCAAATGAGATTCGCACAAACACACACAACACTTCCCCATGTAGCCTGAAAAACGATGTTGGGGTAAGTGCAGTTATGGAGCACTGATGTAGGCTGGCACCGCACACGAAGTAGTGGCTGAGCACTCATCCCGCCTGCCTTAGTATCCCAAGTGGTGATGTTAACACACTGCACCAGGCACTCATGTGAGGTTGTAGACCTAGGGAAGCCCCAGAACTGGTTCGGATATCTGCTGGCACTGTTGCTCGAGAGCGGTAACTGCAGCGCAGTGCAGCGCTATCCCCTGCACCACCTCTCCCCACACAGACTCCCAGAGACAACTGCCATTCGCCACTAAGTGGCGGTGGCGTCACCGCGGTGCCTGTGCAAGGATATATGCACTTTAAGGCCACGTGAAGTATCGACCGGTCACTGGTAGGAGATCATGTAACAAATCCAGGGGTGCCATGGGTTGACTGAGATAACTAGAAGATGCAACAACTGTGTCCCCTACTGTGCCAACTTGCTGTGTTTTAGCCACCCGGCGCTCTGCTTGTTGTTGTGAGTGTTGCTCCTCTGCCCTCCTCTGTTAATGGAGGGCAACTGCCTCCAACTGACCAGCAGCATCCTTCATGAGCCTCCTCCAGAGGCCAATCTTGACACTATTGGTACCGGTCATCAGCAAGTCCTCTCAGCTCTATATCCTCTTTATAACATCATTCCATAAATATGAATATGTTTTACCCTTTTTGGTAATAAAACAGGTGTAAAGATGTTAAAACACCAAACTGAAACCTTTTGCAAAGAATCATGTCTGCAATAACCACACATACGTGTGGTGAACATGAAAACAAAAACCATACTCTGGTAGGATATGCATTCAACGGTCCCATGATGTAGTTGCTCACCCCAAGCTCTCAATGTCCTGATAGTGCAGTTTTTATACTGTTCGTATTTTGGCGCCCTCTAGTCTAACACTGTTTGAGACTAGTCTCTAAAGAAAGTTGTCTCTGGTGTGGACCAATCAGTTTCAAAGACAATGCATATGTGGTTAATGCAGACATGATTCCTTGCAAAAGGTTTCAGTTTGGTGTTTAAACATCTTAACACCTGTTTAATTGCCAGAAAGGGTAAAACCCATTCTTATATGTTGATACTGGAGAGGTCCCATGATCATACAGGTAGGAACAACAGGTTCCATACTGCCCACCAGGGATTATTTGTCTGTCGTGCATACCACGGCCCCGCCCGACCAGGCCCCGCCCCACCAGAGCCCTCCCATTGGCTCGGGGGCGCCGAATACAATTATTTCATTAATCGAGCTCGCGGGGTTTCGCCGACCAATGGGAGCGGTGGGTTGGGGTTGGTAGAGGGGGGGTTAGTGGTGGGGGGGGTTAGAGGTGGGGGGGGCACCGCCGCGACTCGGGCCAATGAGAGGGGCGATGTTTCATTCACAAAATGGAACTGGGGGAGGGTGGCTCCATTCATAAAATGGAAGCCTTGAAAAGAAAAAAGTGGATCTTTTTGCCTCGTGTTTCTTTCAACATTCCCAGCCTTAGGGTGATTCAGTTTGTCCAAAAAAGCAAATGTATTCCTTGTAAAAGATAAAACAAATTAATAAATTTCTAGGTTAACATGAAGCATATAAATTAACCCCCTCCCCCCCAATAAAAAAATACTTTACGGAGTATTATATGACAATGCATATTACAGGTAGGAAAAACAGGTTCCACACTGCCCACCAGGGATTATTTGTCTGTCTGTCGTGCACAAATGCACTGTCCAACCAAGTTCCTACCTGCCCACTCCGAAGGAACGTGTTTCCATCTCTTCTCTAGCCCGTGCCATGCCCGTTTAGCCACCTTAATCCAGCCACGCAAAAGTGTTTGGGCATGAGGTGGCTGGGCATGCGGGCTAGATGACCCAGCCAACGCAGCCTTGCCTGCCGGGGGAGCTCACCGATAAGACTGTGTCCAGATCTTTCAAGGATTTGTGAGCTCCTCATACAATACAGCCTGGTTAAACCCAGAAGGGATCATTGGCAGGCCAGCCTAAATGTTTCTAACCGGCAAAGATGTTCCATTAGGGGGGTCCATATTTATCGCAAGCATATAGAAGGCAATGCATAACTGGCCAAGAACACCAAAAGCTTTTTTCGATTTAAAGCTTTCGTGACTGCAGGGATTCATCTTCTTGGTTCTTTCGGTAAAGTCACGTAGAAGGGAAGTAATAAAATAATAAAAATAAAACATAATAAAATAATTCTCACGACGTTTCGGCCACAACGCAAGCAGCCGTCCTCAGGCGAAGAATGAAACACCACCAAGCTTGGAGCGTATATTTAAGCTGGGTTAGAGGGGGGGAGGTGGGAAGAAGAGCGCCTAAACAAAATAATTTGCATATCAAGAGGAATTCAGCATATGGAAAATGCGTAGGAGGTGGGCGGGGGGGGTTCCAAATCAATACTATGCCCGTGCATTATGCAGGATTAGCAGCATCAAAGGGGGGGGGGGGGGGAGGGGGTAGCATTAACAAAGGAAAGGCTGCGTTGGCTGGGTCATCTAGCCCGCATGCCCAGCCACCTCATGCCCAAACACAAGCTACATACTATTAACATTGCTTTCCTTTGTTAATGCTACCCCCTCCCCCCCCCCCCCTTGATGCTGCTAATCCTGCATAATGCACGGGCATAGTATTGATTTGGAACCCCCCCCCCGCCCACCTCCTACGCATTTTCCATATGCTGAATTCCTCTTGATATGCAAATTATTTTGTTTAGGCGCTCTTCTTCCCACCTCCCCCCCTCTAACCCAGCTTAAATATACGCTCCAAGCTTGGTGGTGTTTCATTCTTCGCCTGAGGACGGCTGCTTGCGTTGTGGCCGAAACGTCGTGAGAATAATTTTATTATGTTTTATTTTTATTATTTTATTACTTCCCTTCTACGTGACTTTACCGAAAGAACCAAGAAGACCAAAAGCTTTGTGTGGGGAATCAGACCAGGTAGCTTCCACACAGCGTTATGCAGCCGTTAAGTTGTTTAAGAGGTTTGGTGCTGCAGATAACAAAGATCTGTCCAACCACGTGGTTTTGTTTGGTTGTTGGTGGTTGGAGGAGTGTTTTTGGGGTGTGGAGCGAAGTGATCCGTTGTTTTGCTTGAACTGTATGAGGTTTCTGATGTACGGTGCAGCTTGTCTGTGTATTGCACTACATTCTGGGGCACCTTGGTAGCGAGATGTTCACTACCTCGCCTGGTATGCAGGTTGTGGGTTTGATCCCAACCCTGATGCCTGCATATTTGGAGTTTGTGTCTCTTTCCCTGAGGTTCCGTGTATTTTTCTACAGATCCTCAATTTTTTTCCTTAGCATTTAGAAACAACTTGCATTTAGAGTATTTGGCTTCTATAAATGTCCACGTGATAAGCCACGTCGTAGAGCTATCATTTGTGGCCAGGTCGCTTTGAAAAAAATAGCTATTTAGCGAAGTGGACCTTACCTGGTAAAATAAACAAAAAGTTTCGTTTTAGTCCTGACTCAAGGAAAAATACATGGACAAGGTGTCCATCAATATAGAAACGTTACTCTTCAGTGGTCAGAACGAGAAAATAAATATGTCATTGACTATTCAAATTGAATGACAGTCACGACTCAGTATGAGTTAATATGGTAAAAACTGCACCAACTCATGTGATTATCTGTCACACAATGAATAACTCGTAACATGAAAGATCTTTAGACTTCCAGCTAAATACCTAACTGCCTGATATGTTACAACCTGTTCACAGATATCTGCCTGGTACGATACTGCCTGTAAACATGTCTCCCCGTTTAATTCCATTGTCTCCCAGTGTCTTCTTGTATCCTCCATGGCCCCTCAATGTATCCCTCTGTATGATGTTGCGTCTCAGTGTCTCCCCGTGTCTCCCAGAATCTACCTGTCTCTTCCTGTGCCAGTGTCTCCCTGTATCGCCTTCCATCTATCATTGCCTCAATATCTTAAATTGTCTCCCAGTGTCTCCCTGTGTCTCTCAGCATCGTCTAATTTATGTCAGTGTCTCCCAGTATCTTCCTGCATCGCTCAGTGTCTCCAAACACTGGCACTCCTGGTGTGTAACTACACCCTAGTGACTGAGTGGGTGAGTGGATGGGCGAGTAGGTGAGTGGGTGGGTGAGTAGGTATGAGTAGGTGAGCGAAAACGGAAATTGGGTGAGGGAGTTTGAGTGGGTGATGTCACAACGGCGCTTGTACCAGGATCGGTGCACCGTGAGGCTAGTCGTATGGTTTCATGCCATCAGCAACAACTCATCCAGCAGTGGACAGACCCTGGCTGCGTAGCCTCACCTCGTTGTAATCGCCGTGTTGTGACATCGCGGGGGAGGAGGCGGTGAGTGAGCCGAGGTCACCACAGCTCCATTCCCTTCCACGGAGAGATGCGAAAATTCGGAGTCTTAGTCCTGCATAGAAAAAAAAATCCCCCGTATAGCCCCACTGGTGGGACAAGTGCTGTTAGCGAGTAGCAGCAACTATGAAGGTCCGCACGGCACCTAGCCTGGCACAAGCGCCGTTGTGATGTCACCATTTACTCACCCACCCATTCCCCTCCATCAATCTCCCACTCAGTCACTGGGGTGTAGTTACAAGGAGATACAGGGAGACACTGTGACGAGCGATGGGTGGCCACCACCATCCCGCCCAGCTGCCCTCGTCTCCCCAGTGGCGAAGTTTACACACTCGGTACTCACTTGAGGCAGTCGACCTCGGGGAGGTGCGCTAACCACTGCGCCACCGCTCCCCTGGCAACAAACGGCGCGCTAATCACTGCGCCACCGCTCCCCACACAACACACGGCGCGCTAACCCCTGCGCCACCGCTCCCCACGCAACACACACGGCGCGCTAACCACTGCGCCACCGCTCCCCACGCAACACACGCGGTGAACTTTTTTCCCGCGATTTTTTAAAACAGCAAAATAAACAAATTCACCCAAACTGCGAGGAAAGCGACTTCGTGCGATGCCCGAGGCTCGAGCTTCCCTCAGCGGCGCGGGGACTTTGCTCGCCACGCGAAGCAGCGCGGCCGGACTGCCGCGTTGAGAATTCCTCTGAATTTGGCCTCCTCAGGAGGGGGGGGGGTCACGTGATGCGGGCATAGACGGATGTAACGTCACACTATCAGGCGCTCGAGTTCAGGACTGTACTGGATTTTTTTACATTTAAACACAACCAAATGTAACTCGTATTCAAATGTCTGTTTTACTCAAACACGAATGAACGATAGAGCAGTACTAATAAATTACTTAGACTAAACTAATTGTTATCGAATACTTATTTGCAATGTTTAGTGACGTCCCATCCGTTAATTTTGGCTCGGAACATTTCTCTGGAAAACTCACTAACCCGGAAGTTAAAGTTTATGTTTTAGAAAAATTCTTACTTTTTAAGCTCTTGATAAATATACAGGTTCGATATATCAAAGGTTAAAGGAAAATCGGTAATAATTGGGTAAAAACATGTTTTAGAATAATGCGGAGAGATCGTGACGTCATGGTCGTCAAGCGTTGTTTCTGGCTAAATATGTGACTCGCCGGCATGTTCGTTAATGTTAGTTAATATACTATCTGTTTTTACAATGCAGAAAATAGTAATTTTAAATTAGGAAAAATTAAACACATTTTAAATGTAAAATTTGAAAGCAGTAAACGTCACATCCGTCATCTTTAAAATCCTTATCCGGATGTGCCGTCACCAACCGAACGTGAACTTTAATATATTTTTGGTGCACTGATACATTCAATTAACCATTAAGTTATGGCTGTTTTAACGTAACGTTGCCCGAGTCTTACGACACCATCAAATATAACAACACCTCAAATAATTTAAAACACTTTCCTGACATCACATCCGTAAATCCGTAAACATCCCAAATGACGTCATCAGCGGCCGTGACGTCCCGTTATTAAACCATTCGGGGTGACGTCACCCGGCAGAAAGGGGGAGGTGGGGGTCAGAGGGGAGGTGGAGGCGATCTTACATTTGGAGCTTTCGTGACTGCAGGAATTACTCTTTGGTTCTGTCGGTAAAGTCACGTATAAAAATAAAATAATAAATTAAATAATAGCATACGACGTTTCGATTGCAACACAAGCAACCATCATCAGGTATAAATGAAATAGCAACAAAAATCTAACCAGAAAACTATAGACATATAAGCAGACAGATATCACCAAGATACATAGAGAGAGTAACACAGACACAGAGAGGGAGATCGTCTCTGTGGCGAGGCCCCAAATAGACAGAGGGGGGCGGGGGCGGAGAGAGGGAGGGGTTAGAGAAAAAACTAACATGTCAATGAGTGCGGCGACGCGTGGTCAATTACACAAGCTTGAACATTAGGAGAGAGGGAGAAAGAACACACTAAATTAAATAACCTAGCAAAATATCGAAATGTTATGTAATACAACACAGAGAGTCGGTCAACACACAATTAACGCATAGCCTGGTCGATTACGTATTTCAAAGATTGCTAAGTTAGAATTTAAGTGTGAAAATTCCAAAGAGAGACAAAACATAAAACAAGAGGAACGGAGACACAGACAGAGCAGAACATAAGAACGACAAAAAACGAGTGGAGACAGAAAAAAGTACACTAAATACTATATGTCTGTCTATAGTTTTCTGGTTAGATTTTTGTTGCTATTGCATTTATACCTGATGATGATTGCTTGTGTTGCAATCGAAACGTCGTATGCTATTATTTAATTTATTATTTTATCTTTATACGTGACTTTACCGAAAGAACCAAAGAATTATGTCTCTCTCTTTGCTTGTGTCTGCCTGTGTCTATGTTACGTCTCTCTCTCTCTGCTTGTGTCTGCCTGTGTGTCTATGTTATGTCTTTCTCTCTGCTTGTGTCTGCCTGTGTGTCTATGTTATGTCTCTCTCTCTGCTTGTGTCTGCCTGTGTGTCTATGTTATGTCTCTCTCTCTGCTTGTGTCTGCCTGTGTGTCTATGTTACGTCTCTCTCTCTGCTTGTGTCTGCCTGTGTGTCTATGTTATGTCTTTCTCTCTGCTTGTGTCTGCCTGTGTGTCTATGTTATGTCTCTCTCTCTGCTTGTGTCTGCCTGTGTGTCTATGTTATGTCTTTCTCTCTGCTTGTGTCTGCCTGTGTGTCTATGTTATGTCTCTCTCTCTGCTTGTGTCTGCCTGTGTGTCTATGTTATGTCTTTCTCTCTGCTTGTGTCTGCCTGTGTGTCTATGTTATGTCTCTAGCAAAATATACATTACATTTCGATATTTTGCTAGGTTATTTAATTTTAGTGTGTCTCCTAATTTTCAAGCTTGCGTACCGTACCACGTCGTCGTCCACTCATTGACATGCTATTTTTTTCTCTGCCCCCTCCCTCTCTCCGCCCCTCTCTATATTTAAGGCCTCGTCACAGAGACGATCCCTCTCTCTTTGTACCGATACGTATTCTCTCTCTGTGTATCTTTGTGATATCTGTCTGCTTATATGTCTGTCTATAGTTTTCTGGTTAAATTTTTGTTGCTATTTCTTTTATACCTGATGATGATTGCTTGTGTTGCAATAGAAACGTCGTATGCTATTATTTAATTTATTATTTTATCTTTATACGTGACTTTACCGAAAGAACCAAAGAGTAATTCCTGCAGTCACGAAAGCTCCAAATTTAAGATCGAACCACTTCTACGGGGAAGTTTCAAGTTTATCTTTTTCTCTCTCTCTGGGTTTTTTGTTTTCTCTCTCTGCCTGTGTATTTAGTGTATTTTTTCTGTCTCCACTCGTTTTTTGTCGTTCTTATGTTCTGCTCTGTCTGTGTCTCCGTTCCTCTTGTTTTATGTTTTGTCACTCTTTGGAATTTTCACACTTAAATTCTAACTTAGCAATCTTTGAAATACGTAATCGACCAGGCTATGCGTTAATTGTGTGTTGACCGACTCTCTGTGTTGTATTACATAACATTTTGATATTTTGCTAGGTTATTTAATTTAGTGTGTTCTTTCTCCCTCTTTCCTAATGTACAAGCTTGTGTAATTGACCACGTGTCGCCGCACTCATTGACATGTTAATTTTTTCTCGAACCCCTCCCTCTCTCCGCCCCCGCCCCCCTCTGTCTATTTAAGGCCTCGCCACAGAGACGATCTCCCTCTCTGTGCCCGTGTTACTCTCTCTCTATGTATCTTGGTGATATCTGTCTGCTTATATGTCTGTCTATAGTTTTCTGGTTAGATTTTTGTTGCTATTTCATTTATACCTGATGATGATTGCTTGTGTTGCAATCGAAACGTCGTATGCTATTATTTAATTTATTATTTTATCTTTATACGTGACTTTACCGAAAGAACCAAAGAGTAGAGTGTGGAGGCGTTGAAGGTGGTGGAGGGGAGGGGTTGACAAGGTTGTTGGGGGGAGGTGTCGAGAGGGTTGGGGGGTGGAGTAGGGGGGAGGGGCGGGAGGAGGAGTGAGGGTTGGAGGGGGGTAGAGTAGGGGGAGGTGTGGTCGGAGGGCTGAAGGGAATGGAGTTGAGGGAGGGGTGAAGGGGAGAGGCCGTGGTTATATTGAATTGAATTTCGATTTAAAGCTGTCGTGAATGCAGGGATTCATCTTCTTGGTTCTTTCGGTAAAGTCACATAGATGGGAAGTAATAAAATTATAAAAATAAAACATAATAAAATAATTATCACGACATTTCGGTCACAACGCAAGCAGCCGTCCTCAGGTGAAGACCAGGTCTGTCGGGGAGACAGCGTCTCGGTTGGAAGGGGGGAAGGGCGCCTTGACAAAATAATTTGCATATCAAGAGGAATTTTGCATATTTATGGGAAATGCAGGTATGTGATTAGTACTACTTGTGAAATGCGTAGGAGGTGAGCGGGGGGTTTTCAAAGTCATATTATGCCCGTGCATTATGCAGGATTAGCAGAATCAAAGGGAGGGGATAGGGGTAGCATTAATAAAGGGAAGGAATGTTAATAGTATGTAGCTGCAGTAACTAAACAACCAAGTAAAAAACTAAAGTATAAACTACATAGTATCATCAGTATACTAAATATACTCTACAATAAGCTGAGCTACTAACAGTAAGTAATACATTACAATTCTATGTCGCAAAAAATGTAATATGCTTCCAGCTAAACTTTTTTCCCTTACATCACATGGGTCTACCCCGTACTATATGCTGCCATAGACAAACCCAACATTAAATTATATACTGTATTACTATACACCACCCTATACCTAAGAATAATATAGTGTAATATTACACTATTTATTATACTAAGAGGAAAGCAACGAAATATGTCAATGGAAGAGTAGTAGTAGGAGACTTGCAGCGGAGCAAAGAATCCATTCCCTGCGGAGAATACAAGATATATAGTCATGCCAGTAAGTGGACTGCGGTCTGAAAGTCACCGTAAACGTGAACACAATCAGTTAAGATCCGAAATGGTTTATTACGTCCTTCCAATGATTGCTGAGCCAGAATCCATCTTCTCGGTTGAAATTGTCTCTGTGTTTGTATATGTGGATCGCCTCATGAACGAATCTCTCACGGTAGCCAGATGGCTTGCAGAGAACCTCTGTCTTGGAGAAGTCAATGTCATGTGAGCCCACTGAATTGTAACAGTGATCTGCCACGGCTGAGGTGTTTGTCCTACCGTGTTTCAGGTCTGCTTTATGTTCACGGATGCGGTCCGAGACATGTCGTTTGCTTTCTCCAATGTAACTGCTACCACAGAGGCAACTTAGTTTGTAGATGCCAGGGTACTGTATGTCTGGAACCACATCTTTTACAGACGGGACCAGATCACGGATTTTATGTACTGTTTTAAATTGGACCTGGATTTTGTGTTTATTCAGGATTTTGGAGATCTTTTTTGTGACCCCCGCAATGTAGGGTAAGGTGATGGTTTTGAATGGCTCCTCAACCGGATCCTTCTTGATGGTTGGAGTGATGGCTTTGCGGATTGTGTAGTCGGAGTAACCATTAGCCTTAAGAGCTTGGCGTACGTGCTTGAGTTCACTGGCAATGTGTTCCTGATCGGAGATGCATTGGGCTCTATGGTGTAGACTGTAGAGTCTTGATGAGGGATTTCTTCTGGGATGGATGGTGGTGTAAATCCGGTTTTAGGTAAGCATCCGTATGGGTAGCTTTCCTGTAGACAGAGTGGCTCATTGAACCATCAGGTCTCCTTTTAATTAGGACATCCAAAAAAGGTAGCTTGTCATCTTTTTCGACTTCCATGGTGAATCTGATGGCTGGGTGTATGGAATTGATGTGGTCGAGGAATTGGTCTAGAGCAGGCCGGCCATGTGGCCAGATGACAAAAGTGTCATCTATGTACCTCTTCCATAAGGTTGGGCGTAGAGTGGCAGTCTGGATGGCGTCAGTCTCAAATTTCTCCATGAAAAAGTTGGCTACACCCGGAGATAGGGGGAGCCCATTGGGGTGCCCTCAGTTTGTTTGTAGAAAGTTCCATTCAGTTCCAGTTCCAAAGTTCCATAATTGTAATGTATGACTTACAGTACTGTTAGTAGCTCAGCTTATTGGAGAGTATATTTAGTATATTGATGATATTGATGTAGTTTATATTTTAGTTTTTTACTTGGTGGTTTGGCGGCTGCAGCTCCTTACTATTAAAATTCCTTCCGTTTAGTACTGCTAACCCTACTTACTCCCTTTGTTGCTGCTAATCCTACATAATGCACGGGCATAATATGACTTTGAGACCCCCCACCTCCTACGCATTCCACAAGTAGTGACTAATTCCATATCTGCATTTCCCATACATATGCTAAATTCCTCTGTTGATATGCAAATTCCTTTGTCAAGGCGCCCTTCCTCCTCTAACCCAGCTTAAATATACGCTGCCAAGCTTGGTGTTCATTCAGACGCTGTCTTTCCGACAGACCTGTTCTTCACCTGAGGACGGCTGCTTGCGTTGTGGCCGAAACGTCGCGAGAATTGTATTTGATTATGTTTTACTTTTTATTATGTTTATTATTTCCCTTCTACGTGACTTTATCGAAAGAACCAAGAAGATATATTATTTATTTACTTACTTGCTTTTTCGACCTACGTAACTTTACCGTAAACTAAAGCTTCAAATCAAGTTTTTGTGATATTTTATCAAACTCTGTTTTCAAGAAAGGACACATGTTAGGACTCGATTATTCTAGTCCAGGCTTGATGATAAATTTCATGAAGTTGTGATAAGGGATCTGCAGACAGGTTATCTAGGTACATGTGTAGCCAATGCAGAAAGTATTTTCTTACTATCTCTGCCTTATATTTCAAAATTTCAATCAATGACCATAAATGCATTTATATGAAATGCTTTGGTAAGCTGCTCTCTCCGTATGCATGTTTTGTCCCTTGAAATATTACTTCTGTATTCCTCAATACTTTGGTCCTCCTTTACTTTAATGCGAGTCAATTATTTGTCTTGCTTGTGTAGTGGGTTCAATTGAGGCACACACTTGAACTTGGAGGCAACACGTTTAATTAACTAACATCACGGTAACTCTTAACGCTAGCAGAATAATGGCATAGGGTGGTGTACACCGCTCCTCTACTAACTTTATACACTTGGGGGGGGGGGGGGGGGGGTTGACTATTTAAATACAATGGATGGGACAACTACTAAATCGGACCAGGACAGCCAACACACTGCCTAGTCCACATGCGCGAAGACCGGAGACCGAATACCCACGAAGACGGAGGATTTCTTCCCAGAGATGAACAACTTCGATCCCCACTGGGAATTGGCTTTTATCCGCTGCGGCGTGGCCAGGCCTAGCCCTTGGCCAAGCCCCTTTTCCAGATCCTTCTCGACGGTTCACGACCCACATGACGTGTTCCTCTCACTTCATTCCTGGTCCTCGTTACCACCTCATCCGGTCACGTGCCCCCCTCGGGTTCACCCAGGCTGTCATGACCTCACCCGACCTCTTCCCTGGTATGCTCACTCAGGTGCCAGGGAGAGGCTCCGCACATACAGTACCAGTCACACGGTACTGTCGCTAGACTATAGTGCCATCATCTATGACATTACACTTGTGTAGCATTACTATTTTCATGATACGGGGGTAGAAATACCCAAAGGATCGCAGGTTATTGTTAAAGATGACGTTACGGTAGAAAGAGAAGGCTGGGCGTGAGAGTGAGAGAACACTCAGAAGGAGAGTGGTGACGTCACCAGATCAGGCGGGGCGATCAGGGCGCTTCCTGGTGGGATTTAAAGTGGAGTGGTCGCATGCAGTGTGAGCTCGTGTAGAAAATAAACAGAAGTATATCATCTCAACCCTCGTCTGGTGGACTCATTACAACTGTTGGCAGTGGTGGGATCGCGAAGATGCCTCGACTCGGTAACCAAAAGGACCCCGACCGAGACCCTAGCAAAGAGAGAGAAGTTGGGTGTCAACTGATCCAGCGAAGACACGATGTGTTAGAGAATGGCCAATCTGTCCCAGATGTCAGAATATTTATACGTCGATTCGTGCAGGATTTCGCAACTGAGCATGATGGCGGATATCCGTGCATGGACAGCCTCATGTGTAGAATGTGCACGGCGAAAGCCACCAGCATACCCGATAAAAGTGCCCCTAAAATCAGTGGAGGTTTCGCAAGTAAACAAATTGGTGGCCTTCGATATACTAGGACCCCTACTTCGCACCGACAGGGGTCACAAATATCTGCTAGTAGGGATCGAGTACTTCATGCGGTGGCCAATGGCGTGGCCCCTGGTGGATAAAACTGCTCAGTCGGTAGCAGAAGCTTATGTACAGGGTTTTGTTGTGGATAAAGGGGCCCCTGAAAAACTTCGAATGGACCAGGGTAAGATGTTTTCCTCAAAACTAACACAGGAAGTCTACGACATCCTAGGCACTAAGAAGGTACGCACTTCCCGTACCATCCACAGACCGATCGGATGGTAGAACATCTAAATTGCACCATCACATCCATGCAGTATCATGTGGTCAAGGACACCCAGACAGACTCGGACTTATAGCATAGGCAGGGCCCTTGCGGCATATCAGTTGGCCCTGCATGCGTCAACAGGATACTCTCTATTCTACAAGATGTATGGGAGGGAACCAGAGCCTCCCATTGAGTGACAGCTGTTTGACCTCCCAGCTAAAGCTGCGAAATGGCCGATAGCGATACGGCAGGTCATGCAGCAGTGAGAAATGGCAAGCAAGACAACGTAGTCTGTGGCGGCTTCCGCCCATTCCGCCATTGAACAGGTTTGGCTATATGGAGTGACGCCCCTGCCTTTCTAAGTAGGAGATAGTGCATGGCTAAACTGCCCATATATATCTTTGGGAACCTCTCCTAAACTGCTCCGTCCATGGCAGGGCCCTGTAAAAGTTGTAGAGATCCTTAGGCCTCAATGTGTACGTGTCCAATTGGGACTTCAGCGACGGTATGTACATCCCGCCCATCTAAATCCCACCAAGGATGTACCACTAAGCTTGGAGGAGCACCCACTACACTCACCAAAAACCGGGTCGCCACGAACACGTACACCTTCATCTCTGATTCCTTCGGTGAAGTCACGTAGAAAGAAAAAATAATAAAAGAACACGACGTTTCGGTCCCAACACAAGCGTCCGTCATCAGGTGAGAAAGAATGATCTGCTGTTGTGGCTTTATATAGGCACGGGAGGGGGGGAGGGGGTTGTAGAGTCGTGGCTACAGGGTTTCACGGGGGGGGGGAGAGAAGGGAGGGTTTGTGGCGTGCAGGGACGGGTGGGCGCTGGAGAAATGAGCATGTCAATGAGCTTGAATTAGTAAACGAAAACAGCACGGGTGGGTGAGTGAAAATCACAGCAGTTAAAACTTGAATCAACAATGAAGCCATACTGTGTTGCAATATCTGAGCAAGCTTCGATGTAAAAAAAAATAGTTTCAAAATAATTTTATTGATTACATTTATTTCTTCAATTAACTCAGCCTCATTTCGATTTTCAACAGCAATTTTCATTTTTGTTCCAGATATCAGCACAGAGGCAAACCAACGGCTTTGGGGACACACACATTCTTGTAAAATGCGTTTGCCTTCTTCATTGCAATGACAATCTAACAGTAATATCACATTTATAGGCGATATCTTATGTAAAAACTGTACTTGTGTTTGTGTTCTCTTGCATCTCCGTGGAGATTAGTGAATGTTATGCAGTCAATAAATACATCATCGTCCATCCCAGCTGGAAAATACCAGGCGATCTCTGGAACTCCTTTCATTAGTCGACCATTCGTGCTGCTGACTCGGCAGTCTCTATAAAAGAAAACTCCATGCTTTTGCTTGCCAAGCAGAGAGTTCAGCATCTGAGATTTCTATGCAGGAGATTCGCCGAATATTATGAAGCACACTAGCGGAGTGTCAGCATCACTGATTGCACAGTTTAAGGATTGCTATTTTGCGGTCAATTTCGTAGATATTTCACGGCATTCCAGTTAGTTTTAATTGTCTGAATGACCAAATAGGGAATTCTATTTCTAAACTACAAGGCTTTGGAACTAAAATCAGAAGGGCAAACTGGATAAATGAAGAGTTCGGCTCCATTTACTCTACCAAGCAATTCCCTCAATATATACCAAAAGGTGAACAGTACAAAGACAATGCACTACCAGAGCATGTATAGCTCGGGGTGAGCAGCTATACCATGGAAAATTTGTGCCAGTATCAAAGTATGAAAAATAAGAATCGGTTTTACCCTTTCTGGCAATGAATGCGGACTTACAGCAATATAAAGATGTACAAATAACTCGATCCGTAATATAGATATTCTTAACAAGATTTTGAAAGTATTAACTATGCCTTGAGACACTTTGTCCAAGGACGCGAATCAAACAGTGATGGATAATGTCTCAACAACCAAGTACAACCAATTATTCAAAATTCTAAACATCTACACAGCACCCACGCTCGTCGACAAAGACAGAACAACCGAGTACAACCAACTATTACAAATTCTCGAAAACATATCTTCACAGCGCCCCCACGTGTTGACAATTACATAACACCGTAGGGACTAAACATACATAAAAATGCGACGACTGTTCGTACCAATCCTTATGCACGATCCACTCTTGGGTGACGAAACAACGCAGCTGAAGTCCAGGGTACATAACGGCAGTCTCAAGACTTGGCTGTTGGCTTCAACAGTGCCCTGAGCATCTCAACGCAGTTGCAGTCTTGGGACCTGGTTGGCGCTATCAACAGCGCTTTGAACAACTTAACGCAGTTGCAGTTTCAGAACCTGGCTGGCGCCATCAACAGCGCTCCAAAGAACTCAACCAACGGAGTTGCAGTATCAGGACTTGATTGGCGCCACCAACAACACAATGAACAACTTGACACGGCTGCTGTTTTGGTCACGGAGTTTTCTATCTCTATAGTATTCTATAGACTCCACGTGGCTACAATCTCTGGTCTTGGCTGGCGCCTCCAACCGCAAGTTGAACAACTCAACGCAGTGACTCCACATGGCTCCAGTCTCAGGACTTGGTCGGCGTCTTCAACAACGCCCCGACCAACAAAACGCAGCCGCAGACTTGGTCACTGAGCCGCATGCCCTGCAGTGGCAGCTGGTCCTCTCCAGGAGTTCCCCTGGTCGCGGCGAACATCGATCATCCGTCTTTCCCTGGGTGAACGCTGACCGCCCCGCCCCAACCAATGCGAAAAACACATCGGCCCCCGGGCCAACGGCAACCACAACCTCTGCACCCCCCCGCCCCCGCGGGAGCCCCCAGCCCCAACGAACGCCGACCGCCCCCCTCCCTGATGAACACTGAACATGTCACTGCTCATACACGCGCCACGCTCATTCAAATTCACACATTTCTCCCCCAAACCACCCCAGCCTTACCTCATGTAACCTCAGTCACCTCGGCTCACCCTCGCGCGACAGCGCTCACCCACACACACCGTTATATTCTGATAATATATGCAGTCTTTGAAACTGATTAGCCCACACCAGTGACAGTCTTCGGGGCCGTCCATAAATGACGTCACGAGATTTTGGACGATTTTTGACCCCCCCCCCCCTCGTCACACAGCGTCACAAAAAGTCAGACCCCCCCTCAAATATGACGTCACAAAGCTCTGCCCCCCCCAAATAAAACATGCTTCAAATCGATTTAAACTATTGTCATTGTAGTACGTTTTTAATGTGGCGCTGCACTCTGATGTTGTAGAATAAAACATTTATTAAAAAGTATTTCTAAGTAGTAGAACGTGTTGTCTATATTGATAACATATCAATTGTCTTTGAAACTAATTGGCCTACATCAGACAGCCTTCTTTATGGCCTACTCCCACCAGTGTCAGACAAGAGAATGCCAAAAAGCGAACAGTACGAAGACAATGCACTAACCAGAACGTGCACTCTCAGCATGTACTTGAGGACTCTCCGCAAGCCGACTCAAGTGTAAGTTGAAGATGGTCAATGTTGTCATAATGCAGGGGACGCTGAAATCTTTTTTCATTTACACAATATCCGACACCAGAAGCAACTGAAATTATGAGTATTTCCTGTTCGATAAGTTCTGCTGTTCTCAGTGATTGACAGAATGAATTAAATGAACTCGTGATTTCTTTGTTTCTTTTTTCATTTATTTCTGAATACTTTGTTGAAAACTCAACTTCTTTTAAATGTTCTTTTGCTTGTGTTAAGATGTTCACGAGATCTTTAAAGTCAGATACCTGAGCAGAGACTCCTTTAGATTCATTAAGCCACTGCATAACGGAGGCGAGTTGTGGAAAACTGTCAACCTCACAACACTTTGGCTCCATAATAGAGCGCATAAGCTTTTTTATTTGCACCGTATTGGCAGGTGCTGTAATAATATTTGACAAAAATGACTGGAGAGCTGGGTGAGACAAACAGGTGTTTATCCAAATCAAATTGCTTTTTGTTTCATCATGTAACTTTTGTTTTAAATCAATTATCTTTTGTAAATTATATTCCACGTCAGATTCTTGCCAATGTTTAATATCTTGCATCACTGACTGGGCTTCAACTTTGGCAGAGACCAATATATCTTCAAGACGATTATTGGGAATTGGGTTTGTCAAAAGCGTGTATGCCTCCTTGAGGCTGTTTGCTATCAAAGTATTTTTAAAATCATTTTCGTGGTTAAACGTGACAATGTCCCACACGGGTACCAATGATGTGCCTCGGTCAATGACAGACCACATTTTTGCATTGGAAACAACGTCAGTTTTCCATTGTTGAAGAGAACAAATGCCAGGGGGCCCACCTATTGTACCTACGGAAAATGTCACCTTACTCAAAAGTGTAGCGTTGTATTTTTCAGAAAATTCCGTTATAAAGTTGGATGCCATCATGCTCACGCCACCTGCACAGCCACTGTTGTTGTAGGCAGAAGTGGAATATCTTTCCACTGCCTCCGATAGTATATTTCTTTGTTCATTTTCCTGATTTGAGGTGATGTCCTCTGCTGATGCTTTCCACTTAAATATCCCACCAAAGTGGACAGGGCCTGTGTGGGCATGAGAGCCAAAGGTCTCAAAAAAACTCCCTAACCTGCTTTTAAGTACACGTGTTTTAAAAGAATCGTTGACGGTTTTTAAAGTGCTTTCAATGCTTTGTAATTCCTCCAACGCCTCATCAGAAAGCTTGAGTTGATCAAAGTCAAGACTTCCTGAGGCGAGCGGTAGGTACAGATATTTGGCGCAATGACTTCGGGAATAATTGGGATTTTCGCGTTGTTTTTCTTCAGTGTATAATGCCTTGCAATGCTGTGAAGTGGTTTCTTCATTCAATGTCTGTAGGAAACCTGTGGTTATGGTATTGAATCCAATTTTTTCTACTGCTGTCTCAAATATTGATTCCTCTTCAGAGGATGAAAACTCTTGTTGTTTTATCATTGGCTGATGTACTGGGCCAGCAAGATTAAACGACATTGGGCTGTTTACGAGTTTGCCTCTTTTCTGTAACACAGCGTTTATTTGACCAGTTTTATAAACCCCCTCTAAAGCAAGTCCTTTAGATGCATTTTGTAAAAAAAAATGATCTGATACAGTTCCATGTAAAATAGAAATGTTTGCTAAATCTAACTGCTTGAGAAAAGTATTTTCGATATCATTGGAATGGCTCTTGTTATACAATGCATTTTCTTTTGCTCCTTTCAATTCCGGTCGCTTATCTGTCTCATCCTCTATTTTGGTCTCACCAATGTGAGTTGACCTTATCTGCTCCATTTGTTCTGGATGCTGCTTTGTTGGTGCATCTTGCTTCTGTTTATTTCCAATTGGATCACATTTTTGTGATTGTTTTAATACAACTTCTCTGCCTGACATTTCCATTAACTTAGACAATGCCTTTTTCTCCCATGGATGCCGGAAATGTGGTTCTATTGTTTCAAATTCTTCAGGGCCAAAATATTGCAATGCTTGTACATTGGTGATATGTAAAATATCTCGCAGTTTTGGAATCCAGTAATTTTTATGAAGACCTAAGTCTGTAATTACTTTGGCAAGTTCATCCTGAGCTTTAACGGTGTGTTCCTCCTCTTCCGACATAGCCTTGAATACACACAAATACGGTTCTTAATTAATAACACAATATTTAACAATAATACAAATAGATTTATTAAATTAGTTGAATATTGAATGTTGTTTTTATTCATATGAGCGTAACAAATATTCAGATGAATAACCAAAGTTTATCACCTATTTTAATGTAAAACATGTGATACATACAAAATTAAGCATTTTAAAATACCTACCATGCTTGTCTACGTTTTTAATCTTAAAAATGAGATAAGTATAATTTTTTTATATTTAAACATTTGATTAAGTGATTGCATGTTAAAATATAGAATATCACAGCACCAAATGCATTCCTTCAACGGGCCCCGATTGTCTCATGACACTAATGGGTAATGTTTGAACTTGCCGTGCTATAACAAGCAGCACTTCAGCCATGGCACCATAGCTCCAGCCCCATACCCGGTTTTCATTCCCTGTGGTGTGCAACTTATTTCCTCCCAACATCAACTTTAAATTTGAGAGTTTTTGCCTGCATGTCATTTCCCAATGCACATGTTGGTAAAAGCCGGCCTTTAGCCAATGCTTCACTGGCCCACTAGAGGAAGTAGGAAGGGGTGTGTTGGGGTGGGGCCAAGGTCATGTACGGAAAAAGTGGTGCGAAGTTTGGAGTTGGAAGATGGTGGGAAACGATGAGGGCAGATCTTAGAGATCGTGTGACTACTGTGTAATTGCAGGATCTGGCAGAGGTTAAAAGCGTTGGTACTAAGGTGTGGTGGCATTAAGAAGTTTGATTATAATCTAGAAGTTAACGTTATTGGTACAAGATTAATTTGGCTTGAGTGAGGCCACACAAGCATACACTGTGCGCTCCAGTGCTACAGTAGGATGGCCTTAGGCACTGCTCCAATCCACAAGATACAATTACATTGGGGTCAGTCGATCACATAGGGATATTGTATTATACATTACATTACCTCTAAATGATGGTGTACATTATCCATGACAGTGGCTGCTGAGGTGGTGATTGCCATTCCTTTTGGCGGCTTGTATACATTGATTACTATCACATGATTAACACTGACGATTATTATCGATGTGCCGTCACTTGTGGTGGTGGAAATGAGAGCATGATCCTTTACGCGTTGCCTCATGCAGGTGGTGAGGCGATGTTTAGGGTGTTGATGGCAGCACCAAGGGTTTAACCATTTATTCTGGAACGTGCCATCCGCGTGCTAGCACAGAATGGTATACTCTTCTTGGAATGAAAAAGGCGTATGTCTGCTTGTAATATAATCATATCCACAGTATCATATGAAAACATGTTTTACTGCAGGCTTCCTAATTCTGTATTAATCCCGAGGCACTCCGTAATCCCGGTACCCGCTAACTACATTCCCTATACCCCATCCCTGTGCACCATATTACTTTTAGTTCCCCTAAATTGTACCACTCATAACCCTTGTAAAGCGTCTTTGATAATAGCGCTATACAAATATAAGATAAGAATAGTATTTTTTTCATAGCCTAGTCCACTTTGAAACTGTGCATAGCAATTTCGATATGCATAGAATGCTGTACATCCAAAATAAATATCAATTCATGAATATTGATTACACTTTTCAATTATGTGTTTGCTACAATTGTATGAATAAACATGCCATTTACACTAAAGAGAAATTCCAATCGTGATGCCAGTAGAATTCTAAATCTGCACGATGCAAGTGCCAGGAGTTGACTATCTCATGGACTCACCTCTCACGTGTTCAGAGCACTAGGGCTGATGGAACCTTCTTCCTGTCACTCTTTACAGATGGTCAAGTGTGAGGGTGAGGTGGAGTTGCATTATGTCCAGCTTGAAAACATAAACAAACCAAATACACGATTAATAATTTTCACGATACTCTACAAAGCAACTACATTTTTAGATAATAATGAACTATGCAAGGGTTTACTGACTCACAGAGTTTCATCTAAGGGTTATTACAACAACATATACATGTATACAGCATCTAAGTATATGTTAATATGAACATATATGCAGAGTTGATGAACAATTCTTGAGGAAATGGAAAACTGAGGAGGGAGAGAACGTTGGGAACAAGGCAGATGACGCATTTTTGAGGTGGACAATGGAGACAAAGGAGGCAATCGCAGTACACAGCTGCCTCCAAATGAGAGTCAATTTAGAAGCCAAGCCGATCATTAGAGCAAGATGGTGTTAGATAAGCGTTTCTATCGTTGACCACATACAATCTATTGGATTCTAGAAAACATAAATTAATAGTAAATATATAATACCACAAGCTACTGGAGACAATTGTTCAGTTGCAACTGATGTAGGCGTTGAATATAAGCCCTAAATATACGTATACATTATCAAAATAGTTTATAACGTTGATTAACTGTTCTGAGATTGCAAAAAGAAAGTAACACGAATATATCAATTCAGAGGAAGAGTGCAGCCTTCATGTGGCACACTCTGTTAATTCAGAAATCACGACGAATATCATTAATGCAGTGACCAAACATCGATCCTCGATCTCCTGGTCTCTAGAGAAACAAAAAAAGCCATGCCAACGGCCCTCTTCAGGGCCAAACAAAGCACCAGATAGTCCCTGGGACAAGGATCTTCCAACTGAATATTGACTGACTCTCCTCGGTGATGTGAAAGTAGTCTTTTATCCTATAATGCGGTAGTTGCATTCCTATGGTAAAATTGTGTTATAATAAATAATATATAATTTAGGGAAAAGCATAGTCTTTGATAACATGTGAGATGCATATGCAGGCTAAACAAAATGGAGGCACGTGGTTAGCTTCTCGAAGCATCCAGCAACATCCCACCTTGTGTGATGTTATGCCGAGGCAGCCATACTACTGCTTATTCCTATTTGTTTGACCTAGTTTTGTTCACTCAATTGCATTACATCTAATTCGCATTATGAAAAAAGTGTTATAGGAGAAACAGACTGTATCTCGCGATCATAATGAAAACCCATAACATTGATGTCCTGAGGCTCCAAGAAACCCACGTCTTAGATGCCCTACATGCCAGGCACATCCATAGATACAACCTCACGACAAGCCATTACCACACGAAATATGGCTTGGCCATATATGTGAAGAACACCACCACAGAGTTCTATGCCTTCTCACTAACTGAAAAAGAATCCATCTACAGCACCAGCATCAAGATAGGGGAGTTGAAAATCACCAATGTGAACACAGCCCCTAATTCAAAATGGCCAAAGCCAGCTCTCCCAAGTGTACCAATCGCAGCCATATACGTTGGTGGCATTAACAGCTACCATACGATGTATGGTAGCAGATGAGGCTGATGGTGAACACCTCACCGACCAGATATCTGAAGGAGATCTTCACCTGGTTTTCGATCCCAAGCAGCAAGCAAATTTCTTTTCTGCTCATTTGCAATACGACTATAGCACGGACCTCACCAGAAATTTCTAAAGATCAAACTGGGAGCACACTTCACACATCTCATAAAATAATCCCAAGCGTCCCAAAAAGTCAACATAGACCCATAATCACCCACATTGGCATCAAAATCTCCGAAATTCTGTCGAAACGATTACCAAGGGGGAACATGGTCAAAACTGACTGGGACCACTATATGGAGGCTGTAGAAAGAGTGGTGAGTCGAATTCCAGTGACACTAGAATGTTATCACCGTTGTGTTGGCCTCCTTACTGCAGCTACCAAGAAGAGCATCCTCCGAGGCTTCTGGAGAGAATACACTCTATGCTGGAAAAAAGAGACCCAGGACCTGCTCTGACAGTACAACTAGTCCACAGGGTGGAAAGGGCAGCCCACAGGTAAAAACGGCCCTGCTAGAGTCTTTAAACTGAAAGCCTGGACTTCAACGCTCCAGCCACCGTGCTTGGGCCCTACTACGACATCTGGGTGCTGCTAACCCAACAAAATAACAGACTGCAGGAGTCCTGCCCAGCTCTATATCCTCTAAATTAGCGGAGAACAAAAAACTACTGCTCAGCAAAACACCAAGCGAGAGATCCCTCGTCAAATACACTCGACAATGGCCTCCATTTCTTCACAAGACTCCACTACCATCAGCACAGAGGAATTGAGCGGGGCGTTTGGCTGAAATAAAGAAAGGCAAGGCTACTGGCAGAGATGGTACCCCCCCCCCCGCCCCCCCCCCCCCCCAGAATTATTCTATCACTTAGGCCTTAGAGGACTCCAATGGCTGGCAAACCTGTACACCAAATCCATGAAAACTGGACACATCCCACAAGCATAGTAGGAGGCAATCTTCACTGCAATAGCGAAACCGGGAATTGCCAACCGATGACCCTTCAAGCTATAGGCTAATGTTACTCCTATGCACGACCCATACATTTCTGGAACGCATCATCCTCCGAAAGATCAGCCCCCTCGTTAAGTCAGTGATGCCTGAAGAACAAGCGGGATTTGTGGACTTGTCATCGGCCTACGACACAATCGAGACTAAGGACTTGACGTTGAAGCAACAAGGACCATTCCTTTACTCAAACAATCCTCCTAATATGAATGATGCTGAATAATAGCTCACTGCGTGTCTATATGGGCGACAAAGTCATCTCATCCTGGTTCCTCACAAATGTATTGCCACAAGATTAACTAATCGAGCCAAAGCTCTTCAATATCTACACCAGTGACACGCTGCCAACCAAGTCCCGAAACTCAAGCAGTCACTTTCAAAAACATCAAATCCACTCTGAATAAAGACCTAATCACCATGGGAAAATATTTCCAGAAATAGAGGCTCAAGCCCAATTCTCACCAAACAAAAGTCACTGCATTTCATCTTGATAATAGCAGCACCAATCCCACTCTGAAAGTGACCTTCTGTGGCAACACTGTGTGACACGACCCCACTCCAACCTATCTTGGATTGAAGTTGATCCTTGCGCTAACATTCCTTGACCACCTGAAAAAAGTAGCTGTTAAGACCAATAACAATGATAAAACTGGTCCAGAAACTGGCATGCACAAGCTGGGAAGCATCAGCGCCAGTGCTACAGATATCAACGAAGGCATACTCTTGGTTTTTTTCGGTGAAGTCACGTAGGTTAAAAAAGAAAACAAATAAATTAAATCACGACGTTTCGGAGGCAACACAAGCTTCCGTCTTCAAATCTAGAGTCAACGAAGGCCTCTGTGTACTCTGTAGCCGAATACTGTGTACTAGTATGGACCAGAAGTAGTCACATTCGACATGTCAATGTCCAACTGAACACTGAAATGCGGTGTATCACTAGAACCCTTAAGTCGACCCCCATATCCTGGTTGGACGGGCTGTCGCACATCTCTCCCCCACCTATCCACCACAACACTGCAAACCTCAGGGAAGTCCTGCAAAAGAGGAAAACAGTCACCTTACCATTCACCAGGACATCAAAAAAACTCCTCATCATCACTTGCTGTCACGAAAGCTCTTATGGACCCATACGCTAAACCTTAAACAATGCAAATTCAACCCCGATTAAGCTTGTAGAGCTGAATAGTGTTCAAAAGAACTCACTAACCCTAGCAAACACTTTGTGAAAGACCCAATGCAGAAGATCCCTCGGTTTGAGCTTCCACCAAGCTCATGGTCCTTGCTAATTCGCATTCGCACAAACCACGGCAGATGCAGATACCTGATGCACAAACGGAACATTTAAAAGTATCCAGTGTACTATTGCGGTCATCCAGAACAGACCATACAACATATAACGAAGCAATAACCCACCCACAAATTCAAAGGAGACATTACAGCGATACACTCCCCTGTTCCTGACGCGGTTACCTAGCTGCACCACCTGAATGTGAAATTGTCGTTGTTGCTCTGCATCTACATCAGTCATATGAAAGGAGAAGAAAAATTCGAAAAGGTTTTACACGAAGAGATATACTCTGTGTCTCACTCCCTTGCAGTGATCTCTCTGAAACTATAGGGTCTGTAAATACACTTCAGAGCTTAAAATATTGTTATTTTAAATTGTGTTCTGGTTTTTATTTTCACCGTACCACATGCAGAAAAATCGGTGATGCTTTTACTCATGCACAAAACAAAATAATGCAATGGGAATAACCAAAGTAAGGACTCGGCCTTCAGAACCAGATGCTCAACTCTGCTCTTTGCTCAGCGTATCATATGTCCTGTATGTATGTTGAACTTCTTTTGTACCGTACATAGCAAACGCGCTAGATAGAGGTGATATGACTCAACAGCAATAAATATCATTATTCCAATAAACATGAATGAACCTAAACTCAACATAACTCACCACAATAACAACATCCATTATCACATTGGAGGGGAAGGAGCCGGATCTGGTGGAGGAGGTTTAAAGGTATTGAATAGATATGTATTTTGGTGTTTTCGTTGCCTGATCATGGTATAAATGTTTCACATTGACACCTAAAAACTGTAACAAAATATTTAAAAAGTGTGCAAAGAAGCATGGACATACGAATGCTTAGCATTGCATTGAGAGATTAGGGAACATTCATGATAAAAATGTATATAGTAAGAAAAGTAAGTGGGCTTGAGGAGGACACATCACAATAAGGAATGATGAATGATGGTCAAGAATAATAACGGAGTAACAGCCAAGGAATGGAACACATCTGCGTTGTCGTCGACCGTAGAGATGCAGCAATGAAATCGGTTCATGTGCAAATGCCTGGTGGTGACAGCTTCGGGAGGCCTTCATCCAGCAGTGGATTAACCGTGGCTGATTATGATGAAAAAAAAAGTTTATTGTTGTTTATTTGATATTTCGGTTCCTATGTTTTTGCAATTCATCATTTAATTTAGTCATAATCAATACTGGGTGGATACCTCACAAAACCCACGTTACTTTCATGATTTTGCAAAGCAGCTGATTTATTTGCTCTATCTCCCCAGTAGGTGGCCTATCGGACGCATTTCTTTCCTTAGTGGCCACTCCTTCGTTGTTGACCATCGACCATTATTCATTAAAGTTACATTTACTGCACCCAAGCCCACTTCTTTTCGTAACAGTTTGAATTATATATTTATCCTGTATACGTTCTATTATCCATGTGTTCAATATAATTACAAGCATACATGTCTCCATGCTTCTTGTATATCCCTGCGTTTTTATTTTATATTTTTCGTTAATGACCATATCTCTGAACAATGTCATAGAAGGTCATATGCACTATGATTGGTATATTAATATATAGTGCGTTTGATAAATGAAGGGTGTCGCAGACAGTTCGATTCCGATTCCAAGAACACAGGATGAGATATTACTATCCTTTGTGCAAGCACTTCCAAGAGTTCATGAACAGTGAGCCTGGTGAAATTTGGGGAGCGCATTGTCAGTAGTGTACCTTTGGTTCCTAGGGTGTTTCGGCCTTTCACACTATACACCCTCCCCAAAGGCGGCCAGCGACAGGGTGATCAATCCTACGCTTGCGTCCCATTCCCAATTAGTCAAAGGAGTTGCCTTGTTGTTGATAGCCAACATCAATATAATACATTAACAGGGTTAATGTATTATACACCAACATCAAGTCTAGTGTAAGTGCGAGTATTAAGACAAGATTCATGTCTGACATACATTTCAAAACATAATTCTACACTATTTTGTTGCCTTGGCTGCAATAACTTTGAATATTTTACTATTCTAGTATGTTTGCTTGCAGTACGATTGTATAGTGTGGTTGCGTGTAATTGTGGTGACTCATTGCCCCCCACCCCTACCGACTGCAAGCTAGTATCAAGACTCAAGGTTAGTGAAAATGTGTTTTTTCAACATATTTAACATTGCTAACTCATTAGACATTAACATGCAGTTTAATATGGTATTATTTTTTAAACATAGCCTGTTAACATAAAAATCGTATTCACAATATCCATCCTATATTAACCACACACAGTCTATACAATATACCTTATAACATATGCATGTATACTGTACATACAATTTACCTGCAACTGAGTTCAATAGTTTCAGCCTATTATCTAATACTCACAATGTCCAGGTGATGGAGAGCCGTAGGGCGCATGTCATTCGCTCTGTCTCTTCTGCTCTTTGGATTGAAGCCGGCTTTATAATCAGATTCACAAAAAGGTGGAGCTTCCCAGACTCCACCCAGTAGCTTTCTCATGACGAATGCGTGTATGCTTGTGTGCGAGAGACACAAAGTGTATGTGGATATGAAATAAATAGTTTGAGCTTAAGCGCTTTAGGTTGGTAATCATTGTATAATCATTGTCTATTACTTAGGCAGTGAGCATAACGTATGAAGGAGTCTCTCGAGGAGCCAGACATGTTATTTTCCAGATTATAATAAGGCTCTCAATGCATTTAAAGTGAAATCATACACGAACTTATTACGCATTTCTGTGGAACATCATGGGAAAAAGGACATTAAATCAGTTCTCCATTCTATCTCCACATATAAATAAAACATATATTTTAGGCCATCGACCGTTTATTATCCAGGTCAAGATTAATCATCAAGCGGTATTTGTAAGCAGTCAAACTATATACTGGTCTCGACGTGCTGATAACACCCAATATTTCTGATGTTTTTTTGCCTCAAATCTACATTTATGTGAGCTTTTCCTTCTTGGGAAGCATCCTACCATAATAGAAGAAAGCAAGGCAGCCAAACCCCAAAGTCAGAGTCGATATAGATATTCAAACTTGACTTGAAGCTTTCGTGACTGCTGGAATTACTCTTTGGTTCTTTCAGTAAAGTCACGTAGAAAGAAAATAAATTCAATAATAGAATACGACGTTTGGATTGCAACACAAGCAATCGTCATCAGGTAAGAATGAATTTGAAAACAAACCTAGTGAACTTAGAAACATAATGCAATACAACACAGAGAGTCGGCTAACACAACAGTCAACACCCTACCTGGTTGATTACGTTCTTCCAAAGATTGCTAAATTTGAGAGAGAGACAATACACAGACACGGAGACACATAGACAGACACACAAGCAGAGAGAGACACACACAGAGGCACACAGAGAGAGACACATAAATAGACACACAGAGAAACAACGCCTCTGTGTCGAGGCCTTAAATAGAGAGGGGGTGGCAGAGAGAGAGAGGGGGTAGAGAAATGAGCATGTCGATGAGAGAGTTGTATGGAAATCCTCCCCGTGGCGGCCGGAGGAGAGAAAATGGACATATAGACAAACAAGCTTGGCAAATTTTAGAGAGAGAAATAGGAAGTTTGAGAAAACAAACTTAATAAAATTCATTCTTACCTGATGACGATTGCTTATGTTGCAATCGAAACGTCGTATTCTATTATTCAGTTTATTTTCTTTCTACGTGACTTTACCGAAAGAGCCAATGATATAGATGTTGTGTGGAGATTTAGGATGACGAGGGAGAGGCAATCATGGGTATTTATTTTCAAATTTTCCTGAACCCTCGATTTAAAATATTGCAAAAGATCAGTCCTACTTTTGTTCAATTTTGTTTTCGTTAAGATGATGCAAATGGATGCCACCACTCACATCATACATGCACACTAGTTTTCTATTTTGTCATCATTTGCAAAAGGAGTAAGGAATGGATGGATCAATGTGTGCGTGTCGTCTCGTTCCTGGTTCATGAAATTTGCCATGCTTATAATGGACAATGTCATTTTTGTTTTTCAAAGCTGTTTTGTTAAGATTGCGTAAAAAGATTCCACCCCTCCAGTCTTGCCTTCACAATACAGTAGGTGACAAGAAAACACAGGGCACCGAACCCCCTGCAGGTCGGCGAGTGGTGGCCGGCGACCTTTGCCTGGGTAGGGGTGATGATGATGGCAGTGACGATGGTGGTGACGATGGCGGTGATGGAGGTGGAGAGACGTATGGCTTAAAGCGGGTGGGGTGCACAAACCATCGTCGCTTACCTAGTTGGACCTGGACGCACTGAGATCGGAGTGCTTTAACGACCTTAACTGGCCCTTTCCAGGGTCGGCGCAGTTTCGGTGAGAGGCCGACCGGCACCTGAGGACAGTGTAACTACTGTATGCCTGGTCCCCCACTTTAAAGGGCTTGGCTGTCACTGTCCTCAGGTGCCATATATTGCTCCCTTGGCTGGTGGACGATGCAGCCTCGGCTGCTTGACGGACCTCCCTTAAGTAAATGAGGGAGGCCTTTAGTGCCTTTGACGACACGTCGGCTCTCGCGGGAATGTCCATCAGCTGCACCTCAATAGGCAGAACGGGATCTCGTCCGTACATCAGGAAAAACGGCTATAACCCCGTCGCTGCATGCAGGACCACCCTGTACGCCGCTAAGACCGATGGAATGTGGAGGTCCCAGTTGTAGTGGTTTTCGTCCACCACTTGGGACAGCATGGCTGCTATGGTACGGTTAAGCCGCTCCACCATCCCATCGGTCTGGGGATGATATGGAAATGTTCAGACATTTTTAGTGCCCAGGATATAGCAGACGGCCTGCCTTGATTCGTGAGCAACCGCTCCGGTGCCCCCTTATCAAGAACATAGCCACCAACGAAAGCATCGACAATGGTTTGTGCCATTTGGCCTGGGAGGGCCCACGCCATCGGCCACCTCGTACTCGACTCCAACCAACAGGTATCTATTTCTCCGTGGCGTGACCGGCAGTGGTCCCAGGATGTCCAACGCGACCAATTCGTTGACCCTGGTCACCGTGATGGGCTGCAGGGGCGCCCGGGTTACCAAGGGTGGTGGCTTCCGCCACGTGCATTCGACAAGGTGCACGTTAGCGGTCATGCCTGGCCAGAAGTATTGACCCTGTAATGTGGACAGTGTCTTCCACCCCGCCAGATGTAGCAGCTGGCGGCAGTGCATGTCCATGACCAATTGTCGACGCGTGACTCCGAAACCACCAGGCATCGCTGGCGTCCTGCCAGGTCCCATCACATGAGGAGGTCCTCCCATATGACATACTCCTCCTCCCTGCCTCCGCTGAGGCACGTAGCGCTCGCAGCGGGGCCTCCTCCTGCTATAGACGTCTCCAATCTTCCAAGGTTAGCCCCAGGTCGTGGTCAGTCAGCTGGATCTCACCCTGTGCGCCCTCTGCGTGTGTACGGGGCGATGACCGTTCCCTCTGGCCTCGCCTCTTTGCAGCGTGCCACGCCTGTGTTGCATGCACAATGGCCCTGGGGCGCCAGCTGGGACAATGCATCTGCGTTGGCGTGTCTTGTCCCCTTGTGATGCACCACTTGGTACCTGTATTCTTGCAGGCACTCTATCCACCTGGCCAGCTGGCCCGAAGGCTGGTCGATGCGGAGTGAATACTGCAAGGCCGCGTGGTCAGTGAGGACTGTAAATTTGCGACCATACAGGTAGGGTTGAAATTGCTGCACGAAGTGGACAACCGCCAAGAGCTCCCTACATGTGACACAATAGCGGTGCTCCGCTGATGACAGCACGCGACTGCCATAGGCGATAACCACCTCCCCACCCTGCTGGATTTGTGACAAGACTCTGCCGATGCCCATATCACTGGCATCCGTGTCTGGAATAAAGGGGAGGCCAAAATCCGGAACGGCCAATTGTGGTGCATCTGTCAGACGCGATCGCAGCTGCTGGAATACCTCCTCCTCAAGAGGTTCCCAATAAAACATCTGGTTCTTGGCCGTCAACACGTGCAAGGGCTTCGCAATGGTTGCAAAGTTGGGTACACTCCGGCGGTAGTAGGACACGAATCCCGCAAACCTGCGTACCTCTGGAACCATCGTGGGAACAGCCCAGGCCCTCATGCAGGCCGTCTTTTCCGGATCTGTAGCTACTCCAGACTGACTGACGACGTGGCCCAGGTAGCGTACCGACGACTGCATAAGGTGGCACTTCGACAGCTTGAGCTTCAAGTTCGCGTTCAGGAACCGCAGGAATACCTGATGCAATCAGCCAATGTGTTCATCGAATGATTGTCTGAAGACAATGATGCCATGGTGCTCGAGATGATCGTGGCCGATGCCCCCGTGTAAACCAAGATATGTGCCGACACTCCCGCGATTGCACCGACCGGGATCGAGGTTCCCGACATGGCCGCTTTTACCCGCCTTGCCAGCTTCCTCCATTGTGTGGCTGAGTCCGGCCACTGACCAGGCGGCGGCTCAGTATCCTGCGGTATATGGCGAGGTGACGGGGAACGGATGTGAATGGGCCGAAGATGGGGTTCCCTCCTTTGGGGTGTATCGCAGCAGGGTGAATGTACCCTTGTTACGTGGGGTGGGCTCTCCACTGGGGTGCAGGCTGGGCTCCCCATGTGGTGCGAAGTGCCCCCCCTTTGTGACGTGGGATGGGCCCCCCTTGTGGTGTGGGGCAGTCGCCCCATTGTAGTGGCGGGTGGGGATTGGGGGTAGGCCTTCCCGTGAGACCTTCCCCTCCCCCCTCCCCTTCCTTTGTCGTGGTGGCATGGGGTCCGTTTATGATGTGGCCCTTACGGTCCTGTCTCACTCCGCCGCATTGCCAGGGTGAGGCAGTGCGCGAGACTGCTCCACGGCGCACCGGCGATTGCGTGTGTTGCCTCACCCCCAGGGCTGTTGCCCCTGGCAACTCGCTGGCTTTGCAGGTAAATAGCGACATCACCTCATGCAGCGACGTCACTCCCGGCCGTGATGTCACCCCCGGCCGTGACTCCATCCCCATCCGTGACGTCACTTCCTGCCGCGAGGCCACTTCCCGCCGTGACATCACCCCCAACTGCGACGCCACCTCCGACCGAGATGCCACTTCCGTCCACAATGTCACGTCCGCCCGTGACTCAATTCCCTTCCCCGTCGCGGCCCCTGTCCCCGTCGCGGTCCCCAGCCCCGTCGCGGTATCGAGCCCCGTCGCAATCCCCGGCCCCGTCGCAATCCTCGGCCCCATCGCAGTCCCCGGCCCCGTCGCGGTCCCCGGCCCCGGCCCCACCGCGGTCCCTGGCCCCGTCGCAATCCCCGGCCCCCGACCAGGACGGTGGAGCCCGGACGGGACAGTGTCAATCGCCTGGTTCCTGTCGGTGTTTGGCCCCGGCAGGTTCCAGGTGGAGTTTGCTGTCTCTGGCTCCCCTCGTCACATGCCCCTCTTGACCGTAATGGTGCGTTTCGTCGGCTAGCCCCCGGATGGCCGCATAGACCTCCCACAGTGATGGCTCCGGCTCAGATGCTGGAGGTCCGTTCTCAGCTGCCACGTAGGCAGCCTGCAGTGACGGTGCAGGTTTATCGATTGGCGTTGATGGTCCCGGTAGCTCCACGGTAACAGCCCGGCTGCTTCCCCCCGCCGCACCAGCCACCTGGCCCATAGGTAGTGCCTGGCCCATGACCTGTTCATGGGCTTGTAGGATTCGGGTAGCCCACAGCGAGGTACATTCCTCCAGCATCACCACTGGCATTACATCGCCTGCGCGGCAAGCGTAGGAGATGAGGTGCTCGACCATGAGGTTCTCGAGCACCTCGTCAGCCAGGCGAGGGAAAGCCCTCCTCGCCAACACGACCAGCACACCACTGTAAGCTAAAGGGGACAGGACTCTCTAGCCCCCCGCTGGCGGTCCTGGAACCGTCTAAAGGCGCCCTCAGCTGGGCAGTAGATCTCCCCCAAAGCCTCGTAGGCCGCCTGTAGCGTGGTCTTAAACAGCAGCATCCCTGCTTCCACCTCTGATTAGCACGGTCGGATATGTATGGTGCAATAGGAGTTAAACATAAATACAATATCTGTACAACAGCCTGTCAATCAGTAGCTACATATGGGGGTATTAATGTTCACATTTTCCTGAACCCTTGATTTAAAATATTGCAAAAGATCAGTTCTACTTTTATACAATGTTGTTTTTGTCAATAGAATACAAATTGATGACACCACTCACGTCATGCATGCACACTAGTTTTTTATTTTGTCATCATTTGCAAAAGGAGTTAGGAATGAATGCGTGTGCCGTCTCAGAACTCCTGGTTTGTCCCGAATCATGTTAAAATGTTCATGACATTTTCCATGCTTATAATGTACAATGTCATTTTTATTTGTCAAAGCTGTTTTGTTAAGATTGCGTAAAAAGATTCA